TTGTATAAAAATGAAAGCAATTACAATGAAAATTATTGTTCAATTTATTATCAATCAATCAGACAATCGCAGAAGAGATAGATCAATTATCTGATTAATTAAATACTCGATTGTATCATGATTTCTGTAATTGTTAACGATGACCTATTTTTAATCAAATTAGGCATTTAATTAACTATTAACAATCTGATTTAATACAAGAAGAAAAAAACATGGAAAATTATGTTTTGGATATATTCTTCATACATTCACTTATAGAAGAATCAGATAGTTGATTTAATCCGTGTAATTGGTTGATGGATGGAAGAAATAATGAATTAAACAATAACTTTCGTAATGATACGTTGAATTATTAAGGATGACGTCTTATGGACCGAATTTAACATGAGAAAGTGGGATGAGCACTAGAAAAAAAGCATTGAAGTGAGTAATAATCAATGTACTACGTCTGTTTCCGCTGCTCGGTTGGTCGACTCCTCTACTCATCAACTTCTCTTACGGTATATCTGAAAAGAATTTTCCAGGCGAATTCCCATCCGTCGGTGGTCACTCGCACGTACCACACGGACTCTACCCCGTGTTGCACTCAAACAAAAAAAAATGTAAACACGGAAACCGAGAGGTGAAGAATTTTTCTCATTCACTCGAGCTGATTTACACCAGTTGGGTTTTCGCATCGGCTCATTTGACCCTCGGTATTCCAGCATTCGTTGTTTTACCGTTTCCCCACAAATACCGACCCATAGTGAATAATAATATATCCACTGTCTGAATGAATAAATAATCTCATTTTTTTATTTTTTTTTTTTTATTTAAATTGATCGCTCCAGTAGTGAGTCAACAAGACGGTTTTGTTTTCACGAGAATGTATAAGGGAATATATAAGATAAGTTTATCAGCGACTGATAATAACTTGGATGCGCCAATCCCATCAAGTCGCGACGAAATATTAAATTTATCAAATCCATTAAAACATTCCTGCACTGATATCCCATAATTTCCAGGAAGCCCGGAATTATCAATAAAAACTTCACCGAGGAGATCACTTTGCTCGTAATTCATTGATTAATTAACTGGAAACGCGCCCGGAGCGATTGGCGATTAATTATTGCAGGGGAAACTTTTGAAATTTTCACCAACTACCAGTTTTTGCTTTTTTTTTCTTCCAATTTAATTTCACAGTTCTAACACCAACAAAAACAGCAATGCAGTAGCCAAGCGGAAAAAAAATTTGAACCGATTTTGACAATTCCCCAGTTTTCAACGAAAATCTCGGAATGTAACAAATATAGCGATAGTGTTGTCATGACCTTTTTTGTAGCCCTAAGGAAGCGCTATAAAAAAGGTAATTAAAAAATGCCGCTATCTGGCTTAGTTCCTGAAATATCTCTGACAAACGCACGCGAGAGTCGCTATTCACTCTAGTTTGGCGATTTTTATTGGAGAGAAAATTCTGTAAAAATGAAAATCTAGAAAATAGTGAAATTTTCCTGATATGATGAGCCATTATCAAGTGTTATTATGGCAAATTCAGGTTGGCAATTTGCATTCAATAAAATTCCTTGCACCGAAGTGATTTATGAGTGCATTGACGCCAACTGGAGCACCTCATTACGCTGCGTTCACCGATTGAAGCATTCTGTCATTTTTGCAATTCACCCTGATACGTAACTTGGCAAACAAAATACTCGGCAATGTTATGTATTCGTACGATTGAATTTACCACACCCACGTGGTCTATTCCTGTCTCAAGTGTTTCAAGTGACTCTTAGGTACATTTCTCCGAAAGGTGATTCATCACCCGAATTGCACAATTATTGCCGATCGAATAATTTCCGTCTGTTTTTACATCATAACGCAATGACGCAGCTAGAGAGGAATTTTTTATTTGTACCTGCGTGACACAGAAACTGAAATCTCCGGAGTGGAAATAACAGGCATTATCACTGGAAAATGGAAAAACGGAAAATACTCGGGTTTATTTGCATTCGAGTATTGTTTCTAGTGAAGAGGCACGAGGTCGTATTTGTCGTTGGATCTAATGGAGACGTGACTTTTGTTGGATTGAAAAATTATGGAAATGGCACGAGAGACTGGTGGAACGTGGCTTATCACCGGATGCGGCCCTTGAGCAAATTCCCCGGAAGTTCCAGACCAGGGAATTATTTTTCATTATTTTGGTGATGCATAAATAGCGGGTTAATTGCGAGATTTTCTAGAGGACTTCATATTAAATAGTCCGGGGTGTAGAAAATTATATTCGAATACCCCTTTTTGATTTTTTCATTATTCAATTCATTCAATGACTCACGAATATTCGTAGTCGTGCGTCCATTTTTTTTCATTATTGGTAAAGTTTTAAAGGGAATTTTGCAAAATTTTTCTGAGAACGTAGAAAAAATCTGCGGCAATGACATTTCATCAGACATTTGCGAGAAATAATAATGGAATCTAAAAACTGTAAATTTGTAAAAGAACCTGAAAAATCAATTTTCACAGTATTTTTTATTTTTCCTCTGAAATTATTTCAATCATTGAAATCCGAGGCCGAAAAACTTGAAATAAATCACAAACTTGCAGACGAAACGCCCGCAACTTCCTGTTCTCATTTTCCACCGAGCGCGCATTATTTCGCAATTACGGAAAATCGTTACAAATCGTGTACGGAAAAATTGAACAAAAAGACATTGCGCTTTCTCCAAGAAATTCTCTTCGAGTTCCATTAAAAATTATTAAAAATTATGTAATCCCTTGGCTTTAAATGAATGTTTATCGACCTTTATTTTTTTTTCCTGGATTTTATCTCGGGAAATGGATAGAAATGATGAAAAATCGCGAATTCGAGATGTTTGTCGGTCGAGTAAACCTCAGTTCTTTTTTAGACTCTTTTTTAATGTTTATTTTAGTTTATTTATTACCAGCGAACTGAAACCATTGCATGGATACAAGGGGTTCGTTCTTATGTGTATATTTACGTGTTAGTGGATGAATCGAGGCAGAAGGATCGTTCAACGCTGAAATGTTTAGTTGAGATTTTATAAACATTGTACTGTGATGCTTGAGAATGACGTGCGTTCGCGGGGTGCACTCGACATTTCTAAAGTGCTCGTGCCACATGCAGCGATTTTTTAACAGAAACCCAGATATTCCTGAACGAAAAATGCATTCGAAATTAGGAAGAGGTTTTCCACTCGACGGGGCCAGAGATCGGCACCGAATGCTGTCTGTTTACTTTCAAAAGTTCAGAACAAATCTTTTTATTCTAAAAAACGTCAAGACCACTTCTGCCAATTATTACATGAATGGAGAATTCATTGTGTGAAAAATTGCAATAGAATATCAGATCAACTTAATAACGATTTCTCAGTATAACCTTACGATATTAAGAATAAAATTTCTGTTTAGCTTAGTTAAAAATAAAACTTTGACTCTGAAAAATTTCAAGAATACCTTCTTGAATTATTACGTAAATGGTAATTTCATTACAGAGAAACTACAATAGAATATCCGATAGAATTCGATACGCATTTTTTAGTCTGACCCTAGGACTATACCAAATAAATATGCATCTGTGTGGAATTCGTTTTCCTCAGACGAAGAGGGCCAAGTCCCCAAGGGATGAACCTGTATCATGTGTCTACCCGCAGGCACCTGAACCCAGACACTGTCAGCAGTTAGAAAGAGTCCAAAGGCTTCATCCCACCAGCAAGAGGAGGATAAAAAAAATCTATCGCCCACACAATTCCAAGAACCCCCGATGATGCATTGTGCGCTCCATCCGGGGTCCGTTGGGGCCCCTAATGACGCTTTTAAGTCCTAAAATTCTCGGGTGAGACGAGCGTGGAAAAGACGAGTCTCGTTTTTACATAGGGGACAGTAAAGCGCAGCTGCGTCATCCCATTGATTAACCCGCGAGTTGGAGTACGCGTGGACCATGCGGCTTTGTTTGCAACCATTCACTGAATTCTACCCTCCAGGCACGTTTACAGAAGGGGTCATTTAAACGATACAAATAAAAATCCCACGAGAAAAGAGTTCCCCATCAATTTTTCTGCATTTTAAATTGTAAGATCAATTCCGATCATTCCACAATTTGTATCCTCTCTCCATTTTCATTCAGATCATTCAGAAAACATTTCGCAATTTTTTTAATTCTGTATTATTTTTCTATTCTCTATTATTTCCTGTTAATAACTTATTTTATTATATTAACAATATGGAAAATATATATTTGATAATTTATTGAAGGGGAATTGAGGAAATTAAGATATTGAGAGAATAATTTGGATCGATTTTTCTTCCCTTTTAAACCGCAGGATCAATTCCCATCAGAAAAAATTTTCCTCCTCGTTCCTTTTTTATTCAATCGATTTTATTAATTTAGATATGATTTCTGAATTAATTCTCCATGCTTTTATTTTACGTGAATAACTTATGTTAAATATCACCAATATATGAGATATATATTTGATAATTTATGGAATACGAATTGGGCTGATTGAATTGACTGATTATTGTCTTAGAACCCGCGAATTTTCCCGGGAGTTCCGACAACAAATTCGACATTTGGGAATTCATTCCTGAATACCCCACGTGAAAATAATATTTCCCAGTCGTTTGTTTACGTAAACAATGCAGGACAGAAGTAGGAAGTAAGAGTCTGGTGCCAGATAGAAATGACTTTCCCCCTGCACCAGCAACTTTTGGGACGACCTGTATCCCACTGGTTTGAGACATAAAAAAAAAAAACGAGAGACACGGTAGGAAGGCAGGTGCAGGCAAGGGTTAAAGACTCTTGGCAACCAGGATGCTGCTCCATCGAGATTAAATAAAAATCCCCACGTCAATTAAACTTTCCTAATAACGATAACTCTTATTTTCGTTCTCCATTCACTTCCGGAATTCGCACGGTTTGATAATTCCCCTATTGTCCCAGTGAATGAAGCCATCTCATTAGAGAAGACAACGTCAACTGATTGAGGTGGATTAATGGCACTGACCTCGTTGGTGGTGGTAGCAGCTAGTGACAAGTTGTTGATTGTTAATGACGAAGGCACTGTGTTTTCCTGTTCAACAGCAACTCCGGTTTGGTTGTTACCACGTCCGTTACTGACCGTAGAGTCTCGAGACTCGGCTGTGATCGTCCCTTCCCTCCTCACCCTGTACTCCCGGTGTTTCCTCAAGAATTCCGTTTGGTCTTCGCTGAGGGATTGGTCAAGGCTCGGCTCCACTTCATCCTTTATCCGAGGTGGATCCTGATCCCGGTAGGCACGACGCTGACTCTTTGATATCTCGCACATATCCTTTCTTTTATTCAGTACCGATCTCTCCGATACGCTCGATTATGTCTCCGCCAGCATGAACCAGTTGTTTAACTCTTTTTTTCAACAGATTAACCGATTACTACTCAGGTGCAGCGACCTTCTACTCCAACTGGTCCGTCATCATCATCATTCACCAAATTTCAAGCCCAGGTCTTCTTTTTCTAGGAAATCACGAAATTCCTCTGTCAGATTCATCAACTTCGCCTCCAAGAAGAAGTGGATATCAATTTACTCCAGATATTTTACAAATCCGTTGTTCCATTGATAATTTATTACAATTATTCCATATATAACCAATTCATTAAATACTAATTGTCGAATGAAAAGGGCGATCTGTCATTTTAACATTTAATATTGTAAAGATATTATTTGCTACTTAATATTTTATGCTGATGACCCAAATGACCAAATGAAATTGAAAAATTGTAGTGATTATTTGAAAAATAGAGGGAAACGAGAAAATAATTGAAGGAATAACGGAGTTGAGGCGTGAGAGTTGGAGATATGAAAAATGCGACTAGAATTTACACTCGACTGGGGATAACTCACGGGATTACGGATGAGAAGAGATGAGATTATTGACTTTTTATTTAGACTTTAGTGAAGAAGATGGTTGTTTGTTATTGTTGATCAGTTCAGAGGCACGCCATAGTTATCAAAGGTAGATGAGCCATGCTGTCAGTGCACAGAGGTGCACGGGGTACTGTTTTATGGTGAATATGCGTCATCTACAAGGGGCCATCTGCCATCCCCTCTACAACTGGTGCTTTTTCGACTCTGCGCCCTGCAACGGGGGTTCTCAGGAAAAATCAGACTCACCCCTAGCCGAGGGGTGGCTTTTCTCCCCTCCGCCAATAACCAAGAACACGCAAGTTTTTGTACGCATGCGTTCACCAATTTATTGGTTTTTTTTTATTACGAAACCCCAAAGAACTAAAATTTTGAAAAATATCTATAAATACCTAATGTTTAAAATAACATTTTTTTAATTCCTGGAAATTCTCGTTTTAGCTTTTTGGGGCGACCTTGAATGGATTTTTTGACGTAATGTATATTTATTATTATTATTGTTATTATTATTTATTGTCTTATTTACACAAATTTGTTTATATGCAAATTTGGCAAAGCGAACAAAATGATAAATGAATTATGTCAATATTGAGGAGCATATGAACATAAAAATGAAAAATTCTTAATGTTTAAATGAAGGAAGAGAGTGTTTCCGGAATTTTAATTGAGACTTCTGGGCTTTTGAAAACATTTTTTGCGTTACCAGCGGATTTTTTAAAATAAGGATCAGATGTCAAGGGTTTTGTGAAGGCTATTGCTTAGATAACTTTTCTAATTTGAATTAATTTAGTGGAAAAAGTCGACGTTGCATTGGTCGTCATTCTAGGGAACATATCATAGGGAAGAAAAATGGACGAAGTCCCTAGACTCAGTGCTGCTAAGTTCAGGGCTGATCTAACTGATCTGCCAATCTACCTTCTTCATATGTGTGCAGCAAACAATCAGAGTACTTTATTTTGTTGTTATTGTGCACTAGAATAAAACCTCAAGGATGTCTTCGATTTACTCCTGATATCTTCAGGACCTCGAAGAAAGCCAAGAATTCATTAAATCAGAATCATTGTTGTTTATTTGAGATAACCTAGCACTACTTGAAAAAGGGTAAATAAAACTTCACCTTCATCTTCAGTCATCACAATATAACTCCAATTGAATTAAACTATTTCCATAAATTTTTAAATAATTAATGCGATATTTATTGATGGAGTCAATGGAGTTCTAATGAAAGATAATGTCGTTATGAATCAAGAATAAATGAAATTTTAGACTTAAGAATTCCTTGAAAGATGCCAGACACGATGGAGGACGACCTGGGGATGTCAGTTCGCCTGACGAACGACGACTTCCGGAAGTTGCTGATGACCCCCCGAGCGTCAGTTCCTTCATCAACACCAGCCTCGTCGATCCCAGGAACCGCTCGAGATGCCGCAGCAAAAACCGCCCAGACTCCTTCAGTGAGTGGTCCAGATCGGGCTGAGGCTCGACGAAAGAAGAAAAGCTACTACGCGAAGCTGAAGAAGCAGGAGGAAGACAAAATGGCAGAGTTGGCTGAAAAATACAGAGACAGAGCCAGAGAAAGAAGGGATGGGAACAACGGAGATTACCAGGCAGAGGATCCCATGAACAACGCCAACGCCTACAGGGCAGTTGCACCTGACCTCAAATCTGGGATGGATGCTGCTGAGAGGAGGAGACAGATGATCCAGCAGTCGAAATTCCTTGGAGGAGACATGGAGCACACTCACTTGGTGAAGGGTTTGGACTACGCTCTTCTGCAGAAAGTCCGGAGTGAAATAGAGGCCAAAGAGACAGAGCAAGAGCAGGAGATGGAGAAGCTGGCGAAGCCCAAGGAGCCGAAGCCCAAGGAGGAGAAGAAGCCTGAGAAGAAACCGGAGGAGACTCAGTTTAAGACGAAAATTGGTCGAAACATCCACAAGACGATAATGATCATGAAATCTAAAACAGTGGAGAGGAATGAGTTATTTACCCCAGGTAGAATGGCGTACGTTATCGAACTGGATGATGAGAATGCCGAGGTGGATATTCCCACGACGTTAATTCGAAGTAAAGCAGACGTTCCCACAGTGGATACCACTCCCACCCTGACGACTAATGACATTGTGATAAATAAACTGGCGCAAATTCTCTCGTACCTTCGTCAGGGTAACAGACATGGTAAAAAAGGGAAGAAGAATAAGGATGGACGGTCGCGACCCGAGGAGGAGCTCGAGGCGGCTCCTAGAGCACCACCTGATGACAGCATCTACGGGGACATCGGGGAGTATGTGCCCAACGTGGCGAAGAAGGATGCATCCAGGAGGGAGAAGAAGGGCTCGTACTTCACTAAACCAGAACCAAGTGCTGTTGACGACAAGGCCAATGCTCCACAGCTTCCTGCTATCCTCACAGCTGTGATGGAGGCTGGATCCTCAGGACCCAAGAAGGGGGCTTTACTCAATAAATTAGCCGCTGAACCAGAGGGCTACGCCGAGTGCTATCCTGGCCTCGACGAAATGCAGGACGCCATCGACGATTCCGATGATGAAGTAGACTACACGAAGATGGACCTGGGGAACAAGAAGGGACCCATCGGGCGCTGGGACTTTGATACCCCTGAGGAGTACAGCGAGTACATGAATAACAAGGAGGCCCTACCCAAAGCGGCTTTTCAATATGGAGTTAAAATGGCTGATGGCAGGAGAACCAGGAAGTACAATAAGGAGAAAAATGAAAAGGCTGAGCTCGATAGGGAGTGGCAGAAGATCCAGAATATTATGAACAAGAGAAAACCTTCTGGTGGCGGGGATGGGGCGCCTGAGTTCAAGGTGCCTAGGTATTAATTGTCAGAACAATTCAGACATTGCAGTTGTAATATAGGAGTCGGTGGGAAATAAAAGTGAGAGTGAGAATGAGAGGTAATTTGTAGACTTTTGTGAATTCAAATGTCTTGGCACTTTGTCACGATGTACATACAGAAACATTGATTAACTTGTCGAGATAAATCTTTTATTGAAACTCATCTATGTAACAGCTTTACATAAGGTAAATCCTATAATCTATGTACACATAACGAATAATCATCGACTTTCGTTGTTAAATATTTTTTAATTTATTCACTGGTTTTCCTTTTTGTCAATTATCGATCGAAATCAATGAAAATACAACGATTATGCCCTGATTATAATTATTGATGATTCATGATTACTTTAGTTCTTACAACGACGGTTTAAGTTACTTCATGAAGACTAAAATAATTTTGATCTATTAGTTTTGGTTTTGAATTCTCGTGGGTTTAGATCTTTATCGTTTTATAACTAGATTATTTTGGTTTATTATTAAGCGGCACACGTGAGGAACTAGTTTCTCATGGAAAATACTTGAATACCTCGTGAGCTAGCAGATCTGGGCAATAGGCGACGAATTGTGACGATCATAAACTACGGAAATGCACTTTTACTTTCTCACATTATTTTCAAAGTTTAAAAGTATAATCTTATGGAAATTGTACCGTCTGACGTTTTAAACGATTTCACGGAATAACTCAATGCATTGACACAACAAAAAATAAAAATACTAATCCACTAATTGAAGATCATGGACTATTATTTTTTAAACTTTGAAATAACAACTTTTAGTCCCGGGAGACTAAGAAATCTATAACGAAGCGTTAATCATCAACACTAATTACCTTTTGGCACCTTTAGTGTGTAATAATGAAGGTCAGCGTGTTCTTTCAATCTACGATAAAGAGGAAAAGCATTTAATTGGAGTGGGCTGCGGACAACCGATTCCTTTTCATTATTTTCTGAAGTGATCAAGCAGGAAAAAACATTGAATCAGAGGATCCTGCCCCACCACTTCCTCACTCCCACCTTTTTCATTATTCTCAACAAGTTTTATACCTTGAAAACATATAAACGTTTATTTCAGTAGCAAAGAGGTAGAAGGTAACAAGCCAATTCAGCCGACAGGCAGCCTCGAGAAATATCTCCTCGAACGTAGATACCAAAATTTTGATAGATACCTTTTTTGTAGCTGTCATTTATATCATTAAAAAAGATTCCAACAAAAATTTCGCCCCATCCCTTACATTCGGAGATATTCATCGAATAATCACGTAATCAATAATTCAGCTAAATAGTGATATAATTACCTAGATCGATTAATCGCCTCTTCGCTACTGATTTATACCGTGATGTGCCGTTTATTTTTGTTCGAGGGTAGGTGATGGCAATTCCACTCATCACGACGTCTTTGGGGATTACCGCAGGGTCTCTATGATTTATTAAAATTTATTTGATTTTATTCCTTCGATTTCCCTTCATACTGACCCCAGGAAGAGTGTTTCGCTGCTCATGCCGATGAGGACGAGAATAATCAGCATCATGGAGAAGAAGTATACGCGTTCTGCTCCAGATCCCATCGTCTGGGGCTGTCCATCAGCTGAGAAATTCCTACCATAAATGGTGAAGGTCATCAGATCGCTCCTGGGTTTTATCAGGTTGAACTTGAGATTTGTGTGAGTTTTGTTGATGATCTTCATGGCGAAGGAGAAGTCTGTGACGTTCAGAGGTGTGATCTCGTCGTTCTGGGTAATTGGGAGGTAGAGGTTGTTGGGCAATGTCTTGAAGTCTCCGGATATGCTCAGGGAATTGAAGGTTGTCGGGTGGACGAGTATTCCGTTGGTGTCAAAACGGACAGAGCAACTCTCCACGGTCTCGCCGGTGCAGGAAATTAATCCGCAGACCTCGATTCCTCCTGTTCCTTTTCCGGAGAATGAGCGAACGCCGTTGAAAACAGCGAAACGATATCTGGGAATTAATGCCAAGGGAAAAGATCGAACTTTATTGATTCCTTGGTATTCAGAAAAATTGAAATAATGATCGACCCTGACCCGGGGCTCGAGATCATGGAACGAGTATTTCTAATTTTTTGTAATGGGTTTTCATTTTTTTATTTATGTTTTCCATATTCCATTCGTTTTATCGGCTATTTCTATGAAAAATTTTATCAATTTTTATTGAGAGATATTTGATAAAAAAAAGTCAATGCATTTTTTATTTTATTTTAAAAAATAGATATCAATTTACTTTCATCGGGCGCAGGTGCGTCCAGTTGGTAATTAAAATCGCGGGTGACGACGCATGATTTTTTGTGAAAAAAGCGCAAAAGAGTAAATTCATCGTTAAATTAGGGAGTTAATGCCGATATCTTCTCTTCTTTTGATATTTTTGGTAAATTTCTGGAAAACCGTCGCCTGCCGTGAAAAAATCTACCGTTTCAATAATGAAATTAAAATGCTATCTTTAAATTCCAATGGAACTCCGATAGAATTCTTGCAGAATTCGAATGAAAATTAAATATAATATATAGAGAGAAGCGCAAAGTCATTTTACGAAATTTCCCATGGGTCATATTAGCAAGGGATTATTTAGCTGATAATTAGACATGCGGTATGACGCTGCAGAATTTTTCGTGCAATCGGCGCAATAAGTAAATAAAATTTCTCCCTAAAATCCTAATTGAATTCCAATAAAATTCTCACCGATTTCTAATAGAAATTGACGGCAATTTATCAGAGAAAGCGCATGATTTCCTCATCAAATATTTATACGCGATCTTTCTGCAGAAAAGTGCCTATTCAATACCTAATTAAACATGCGAGGTGACTTGCATAATTGTAAAAGGAACCGCTGCAAAAACTAATAAAATCCTTCAAAATAATGTTAATATTTCGGAAAATATAATTTTCAAATGCAAAGTTCCAATCGAAATCAAATACAATTTTCAATTCCTTCTTATCAATTTTTGGTAGTGATTTGAAAAAAAAACAAGTAAAAATTGGAGTTATCGTACGGAAAAATTTCTACAGAATTGGCGAATGGTGTCGATTGAGGAAAAAATGAAAGACTTGTCTTTATTGCGGAAAACTCACCTGTAGTACCGAACATTGGGCTCTTTAATAAGCTCTACATTGTGAGCAGTATCAGCGATAAATTGGCAGCACAATCCATGATCGCAGAGGGTAACATTGGAGGTTCCATTAACAGGTACAAACATCTTAGTGGTATAAGGCAGGAGATAATCACTGATTAGTTTCATCTCTGGGACAGGCTCAGAGCCATTGATAGTGGGTACAGCACTATTGGGTGGAATGACGATACTCCCAGGAGTGATGGATCCTCGGTTACCATCAATGACCTTGGGTACCTGAGCAATAATAAGGGCATTGGTTCGTTTTTCAGGCCAGACCCTCTTGAGAACACCACTCTTGCCAGCGTATATTCCACTGCCTCCGCTGCCAGTCGCTGGGTTATCATATCCAGATGCCAAAAGATTGACATCATTGCTCCAGGACCAGGCGGTCTGGATGGCACTGGAGGTGAGGAAAGGCAGCTCTGAGAACCAGTGGCTGGAGAACAAAATGTCCCGGACCTTTTGCTCACGGATAATTCGGAGTGTCGGTGTCTCGAACAACATGTCGAAGCAGATTATCAGTCCAAATGTAACATCAAAGTCTGTCTTGAATGTCGTCATCTCTGGTTTAGCTGTTCTGTTGAGGGACGATTCACCGAACAAATTGTACTTTCTGTATCTAGCAACAACAGCACCAGACCGATCGAACACAACGTTTGTGTTATAAAGATTGATACCGTCCTTGGAGCATCGTTCACCCGTGCACTTCTCCTTCTCCCTTATGTTCACAGCTATGTACATTTTGAAACGATTTGCTGCGCACGATATGGCCTTCAGGCACTGATGAATAATTATAAAAAAAAAAACAATTTAATTATCGTTATTGATTGTGCTTCGGGGGAGAATTATTGGGGCTGTCGGCTGGAAGGATTGGGGATCGAGGAAGTCGTGGGTTATTTCGGGGACTTTTCGATGGCTCGGTGGTAGTTACCTCCATCACCGGGGTTGACTGGTCGTGACATGGCACTTTTCCCTCCTTTGGGTGTGGAATGAATGAGCTGTGGGGGATGTATTTTTCACGTTCCTCCGGCGGGTATTTCTGATCACCCGTCAGCCCCGTCTCCGGGAAGACGATTATGTCGACGTCCTGCAATAATTTTTTAGACTCCCTAACAACATCTTGAGGGGTACGATATCAATGATGGATATTATTCCATGAATATCGAATAATAAATAAATAAACCAATGAATAATTACAGATTAAAAACTACGGAGTGGATCAATTAACGGTTTAGTTGATGCATGGGGGGAACTGTGTCATCTACGAGGAATTCATGATTAATTATGATAATGAAGGCGAAAGCAGAATTTTATTTTGCTCGCTTTGCTGTTGCGGTGTTGAGGCTATTTTTAAGCAAACTTATCAGGGAAACTGCTTGAGTGTGGTGTAATTTTATTGGAGTGAATTTGCTTACATTCTCACTTGCTGTCTTCAATATTTTAATGAAATTTTTGGCATTCTCATTGGCAATTGCTGTTAAATTTTCTCCAGTCATTACACCATAATACTCGACCGTTGCACCCACGTAGTAAGGACTCGCTGGCGCAGATGCCTGGGAAAATAAGACGGTAACTGTTGAAACGACAACATAAATACGACCTTTTGCAGTTTCATCCCCTCATCAGGAGAGACGTCAGTGACCCACTGAAAATTCCAGGTATCGATTTTTCAAATGCAGTCACCCGGTGCGAAACCTCGGTGAGGCACACCGAGATTCTCCATGTCGCCCGATTGATCAATAATTAAACTATTCGGGGATGCACCAGAGTGAGTAATTATTTTCGAGATTACCTGGAGAGTGAGTCTCGCCGAGGAGAGGACGCCGATGATGCACAATGCGATAATCATTTTGCCAGGACCGCTCAATAAACAGAGATGAGATTTTTCGTCTGGACTCGACTGGAATTTGATAAATGACTTTGAGGAAGATCCGGGTGCGGGGGCTGGCCTTGTGTATATGGAATATATCGAATTGCCGATTGGCAACGAAAAAAAATTGTCTCAGGAACGTCTGAGTGCCGTATGGATCAGTCTACAAACTGATCGGTATAATTTCGCGTTTCTCTAACGAGTGTGCGCGCGGTTATCGTCGATGCTGGGGTACGTAGATAAAGGTGGTTCAACGTATCCGTGGATACTGACGGTGGAGCGAATACTTTGCCCTCACCCCGTTATCCAACTTTTATTCCTGGTGTAGAGGAGGTGGCCTCACCTATACTGCAGCTATACCGAGCACAACCCGATGTCAGATTGACTCGACTATTTTCGCGCATGTGTCCACCGTATCCAGCATCCCCCAAACACCAGGAAAAATTCTTCGTTATTTTTATTTTTTCCTCCCCTTTCACCGTTTTCTTTATTTTTTCTGGTATTCATATTTTCTCAGCTTGCACTCGTTTCGTACGTGGAATTTCATTGCGTAATTATTAATATAAACATATATTAACAAAAAAATATTGATTTACAATTGTATTTGTTGAACGAGTGGTATTCGATGGAATATTGTGCGTGAACCGGAAATGGAAATTTCGTTTGTAGATTTCAGTGGCTTTCGGACTTGAAAACAAAAATCGGCAGTCGGTAGAGCTATGATTACGAGTTTTTGAGGATTACCTCGGGATGTAAGAGAGATACCGGAATTTTGTAGGGAGCTTTTTTGTAGGGCTTGGTATGGGCTATAAGAAAGGTTCAGAGGATGATTTCGGTATTTCTTTTAGTTTCGAAGATATTCCTCGAAAAACGAGATAAGTGGGGATCAGTCGAGGTGTTGCACTTCACCTGTTCGATACTCGATTTATTTCTGTTTTATTCTGTTTTATTTCGTTATTTCGGGCACGCCACAAATTTTTAAAACAGTAGTTGTTGTTTTTGGCACAGATATGAAGTCTTCTGAGTATTCAATTACATCTGGAGCTCGAAAAGCGCTTACTCTGGGAAAACACTCAGACAAATCATGAGACTCGTTATCAGATTTTATCAGCAAAAGTGCAAACTACACTCGGGTTAATCCTCACTAAAACTGCAGTTTCACTCATTTAATCCGATGATTGGCAAATTATTGCTTATCTATTGTAGGAGGTGTGTTTAATCGATAACGTCAAGTGACAATTATCGGCGGAAGGGAGAGGATAATGCATTTGATTTCGTGAGGACAGATATGTAATTTATTTATCATGCGGAAACGTCAATGACGAGAATAAATAAGTTACCACTCGAATATTCAAATTTCTCAATGAATTCAATACAAAAATACTCTAATTACCGATGGATATTGATTGATAGTGATCGTTTGAGCCATTAGATTTCGAATATTTCGTCGATTTAGCGGATAAATGATGTTATGATCGAAATGGAAGATTTTTGGCGGTTTAATTCCACCGGCACGTGCACCACCGATAGTCAATCATATTGGTGAACCAATAGGAATGATTGAAATGTTGAAAGCACGCGCCTGTCACTTGCGCAATGTCGAATTACACTCGGTGAATCCCCCGAAATATTCCGTATCATTTGACCCGAGACATTCGACCCGATTACCGGCTCAAACTCGTTCAGGATGGAATAAGTAACGATGATCTCTGACCCAATTAGCAACAGCAACTGGACTAACTGGATTTCACTGGTATTCGGAATCTGATGATAACGAGATCAATCGGTTTCTTTAGAATTGCAGCATACCAAATGACTTTGTCATTTTATCGCTCTTACGAATTACATAATTGAAATATTCCATTTTTTAAATTATTTTATTCAATCATTATTTTAGTCAATTACTTCACCAAAATATTTAGGAATAGGAACATAATAATACTATAATATTTCCTGACAATTAGCATTTGCCTTCTCAATTAACTTTTCAGTTAATCACATTTTTTCAACTTGCGCATTAATTATTATTATTGTATGCATGTATAACATGTATTGAATATATATTCAAACCGTATTATAATATTTTATGAAACTAATTATTTGCGTTTTCAATGATTAATTTTTTGTTGCTAAAGCCCGAAATTCAGAGCAATCAATCAGAATGAATCATAAGATCGTAATTATTCTACCAATCACTGATGCACGTTAATTTAGGAAATCTTTTCTATTTTTCGCTTGAAAGGATTGATTAAATGGTGAAGAGGAAAAATGAATGATAAAAATAAGATGACGTGAAATAAATATAATTGCAGCATCGAGTGTTGACAGAACGATTTCTTCTCGTTCGATAAAATGAAGGAGATAACAGAATTCCCATCAATGATTCTCCCAAGATGTATCTGAAATAAAATTAGAAGAGGAAAAGAATATCGAGAGGTCCTGACCCTCTCTTGTGATACCAAGTGCCTTATATAAAGTACAGTCGCTCCAACTTCTAGTTCAGTAAACTTTCAGTTTGTCCGGAGAAACCGGTCGATAGACCTAGAACACGTACCCGTTAGTACCACTACACCAGGAGTTCCTCCATTGTACCTTCAGATGCTAGCAACACGTTTTTTATATCAACCAAAACGTGGCTTTGCCCTGTCATCAGTGAGTCATTGAATAAATAAAAATCCTCATTACAATTTCGATCAGTGACTAACTCACGTGAATAATTCTACTGCAATTATTCCATTCGCCTTGGACTCGTTGAACTCATGGAAACAATTTCCCTGGAAAAAATTTCCCTCGTAGAAAACACTCTAATTGGAATTAATTCACCTGAATGAATTGAGTTTGGTGTAATGAATTCCTTTGAACAAGTTCATTAGCAATAGTTCATTAGCGATAATTTAATCCTGGTGTATTGGTTTATCTATTTGCAGCACTAGGACAGCAAAAAGTAGTTATCCTGCACTTTAAATAATTAGTTAGGTATGTAGTTAATTATCATGATTTTATCCGCATGCACTCCTCGCTGGATTCAATCCAATTTGCAACAGCTGTCGTTGTGACTCAATTCGATTCTTCGGGTTGGGGATGGTTCGATGGCTTTTATTGATTGATCATTCATTCCAATTCAGGTGGCAATGGCCCAACTCAAAGTGGCTATTATCGGCCAGAGTAATTTTGCAGCTGAAGTTTATAAACTTCTGAAGCAAGATGGGCATCATATCACCGGTGTTTTCACTGTTCCTGATAAATCCAGTCGAGAGGATCCCCTCGGCAAGTTTTTTATTATTATAATATCATCAATCAATGATTTTTAACAGAGAATTCAGCTAGTGGATTAATTTGTCTGATGCAATCGTGAATTCCATGAGAGATGGCAAACACGGGTGTCATGTAGAAAAAATAATTATCTTTGCTTTATCTTCAGCTGCAACTGCTAAAGCTGATAACACCCCGGTCTTCAAGGTCAAGGCTTGGCGGAGTAAGGGCCAAACTCTTCCTGAGATTCTCGATCTCTACAAGAGCATCGAAGTGGATCTCAATGTTCTCCCCTTCTGCACTCAGTTCATCCCGATGGAAGTTATCGATCATCCAAAACACAGGAGCATCTGCTACCACCCATCGATATTACCTAGGCATCGGGGTGCCAGCTCTATCAGCTGGTACGTTCGCTTTATCTCAGAAGAGAAAGGCTACATTTTTTTTATTTATTTTCCAACGGGGTATCTAATTGCCCGTTTCCTCGTGAACAGAACCAGTTTTACCCGATGGAAAACAGGCATTTTATTCCAGTTTTTTTTTTCGTTGGTCTAGTTTTCGTTTGGAAGATATTTATTTAATTATATATTCTGTTATCGAAAACAATCAATTAAATGAATCACCAATTCAATTCAATCCTTTCTATTTTTTGAATGAATGAAACAATTGGAATGATTTGTTTTAAAAAATATTAAAATACTTGCAGGACATTAATAGAGGGTGACAAAGAGGCGGGACTTTCGATTTTCTGGGCGGACGACGGCCTGGACACTGGTCCTATTCTCCTCCAGAAGAAGTGTCCAGTTGAGCCGCACGACACCCTGGACAGCCTTTACAACAACTTCCTGTATCCAGAGGGTATTAAATCGATGGCAGAGGCAGTGAGTCTGGTGGCATGTGGAAAAGCGCCGAAGATTCCTCAACCCGAAGAAGGCGCGACGTACGAGCCAATCCTGACGAAGAAGGAGCTGCAGAGGGTGAACCTGGGAAAATCAGCAGATCAGGTTCACAATTTTATCAGGGGCTTGGACAGCTCCCCGGGTGCATGGACGCTCATAAACAGCGAAGAAGTTAAACTCTACGGTTCGACGATCTGGACGTCAGGAAAGCCCGAGGGCGAGACTGTTGACGTCGACGGACACCAGGGAATCGTCCACGAGGGGGGACTGGTGATCGGCGTTAATCAGGGGTTCGTCAACGTGGAGAAGCTCAAAGTGGGGAGCAGGACGATTCGCGCTGGGAATTTCGGAAAAGCCGACGAGGGGTTCACTAGTGTAGAATTTACTGAGGAGGAGAAGGAATCCGTCGACGTCCTGAAGGAGATCTGGGGGAGCATTCTGAACGTCGACGTGGAAGATGACACGGATTTTTTCGCGTGTGGGGGAGGTTCCATGGACGTTGTAAGGCTTGTGGAAGAGATAAAAGACCGCCTCAACATTACGATTCAAAATATCGACGTCTTCATGACCCCAGTATTCCTCCCGTTCGCCTCGGCGACGATCCTGACAGGCCGAGGGGCATTAGCGGCCTCGGAGATCATATATGACGCAGTGGAACTTCGAGCGAACAATCTGGACCTCAAGTTTCCACGGCAATTGTTTATCAATGGTAAATTTGTAGACGGTCGAGGGGCGAAAATCCCATCGATCAATCCCCACGATGAGAACGTCATCTGCGAGGTGGAGAGTGGGTCTCCAGAGGATGTGGACCTTGCAGTGCAAGCGGCAAAAAGGGCACACGAAGAGGGAGAGTGGAGTAAAATAAGTGCGAGGGAACGAGGAGCTCTGCTTTTCAAACTGGCTGACCTCATGGAACAGCATAAATCAGAGCTCGCGACAATCGAGAGTATCGATTCAGGGGCGGTCTACACCCTAGCTCTCAAGACCCACGTGGGAATGTCCATCGAGACCTGGAGATACTTCGCTGGTTGGTGCGATAAAATCCAGGGCTCTACCATCCCCATAAGTCACGCACGCCCCAATCGAAATCTCACGTTCACCAGGAAGGAATCAATCGGGGTTGTTGGTCTCGTCACCCCCTGGAACTACCCCCTGATGATGCTCTCCTGGAAAATGGCGGCATGCCTCGCAGCAGGCAACACTGTGGTGATGAAGCCAGCGCAGGCATCACCCCTGACAGCTCTGAAATTCGCTGAGCTCTCGGTGAAGGCTGGAATACCTCCTGGAGTCATCAACATCGTTCCCGGCAATGGCAGTATCACGGGCAATGCAATAGTTCAGCATCCGTTGATCAGGAAACTCGGGTTCACTGGCTCCACTGAGATTGGTCAAACAATAATGAGGGATTGCGCTTCGAATTTGAAAAAAGTGAGTTTGGAGCTCGGGGGAAAGTCTCCCCTCGTCATCTTCGAGGATTCGGAGCTTCAGCAGGCGGTTCGAATAGCTATGGGGGGAGTTTTTTTCAATAAGGGAGAGAATTGCATCGCGGCGGGGAGAATTTTTGTGGAGGAGAGCATACATGATGAGTTTGTCGACAGAGTTGTGGCGGAAGTGAGAAAAATCAAGATTGGTGATCCCCTCGACAGATCGATCTCCCACGGACCGCAGAATCATCGGCAGCATCTTGAGAAATTACTGCGGTTTGTTGATACTGGGGTCAGCGAGGGAGCCAAGTTGGTTTGTGGAGGGAAGAGGGTTGAGAGGCCTGGGTGGTACTTCGAACCCACTGTTCTCACGAATGTCGAGGACCACATGTTTGTGGCTATCGAGGAGTCCTTCGGTCCTATCATGATCATCTCCAAGTTCAATGGGAAGAATGTCGATGGATTGATTAAGAGAGCAAATGCCACTGAGTTTGGTCTCGCCTCTGGTGTCCTCACGAGGGATATCAGCAAGGCCTTGAGGTTTGCTGAAAGAATCGAGGCTGGAACTGTTTTTATCAATACTTACAATAAGACAGACGTCGCTGCACCCTTCGGGGGATTCAAAAGGTCTGGATTCGGCAAGGACTTGGGACAGGAGGCGCTCAATGAGTATTTGAAGACTAAGACCATCACTGTTGAGTACTGATAGACATTTTTCAGGGGTTTTCCTCTTTTCGGGAAGTTCGTGGACTGTAGGAGATGCACATTCATCGGTGGTTACTCATTCCGTGGTGCGGTTTGTATCATCATTATTAATAAAATGTATTTATGAAGTTCGTGTGTGTTCTTTACTCCCACGCCTCTGGATTCTAATACTCCGATTTTTTACGACTTTCGGGACGTCGTGCACATTCCCATATGGCTTCGACCGTTTTTTATCCCCTGGGGATACGCCAAATGTCGTTATGGGTTTACACGACGTTGGGGAGATTGCGGAGTTGAGGAAATGGGGCTGTTTTCTTACGATTTTAACATGGAATTTGTTCTTTACGTTGCAAGACCTGGTACTATACGATTTTATATTAGTTTTCCCCAACTCTGCGAGAAAATAATTGAGCCACACAATTGTATAAGGAAATTTATGTTTTTTTTTTAAATCAATTTTACAAAAGTTTAGAAACAAATGATTATGGCTTTGATGTGGAAATCCAAGAAGTTTTGCGAATATTTAAAAATGGTGTTGATATAAAAAAACGAGGTTTAATAAATTATGGAGGAAAAAAGAGTGTGAAAAAGTGATATCAAGCAACATCTCTCCACTTCCTCTTCACGTAACTTATCGCATGTCCCCGGGTCGCCAAGTGTCACAGATTATCAGTTTACGATTGGAAAAAATTTCGATAGCTTCCCATAGAAAAATGTATTTATAGGATATTTTTTCGTCTTTGTACGAAAGCCTGGGGTAAATCGGCATCTTGATGGGTTCTCACGTACAGAGGGGTGAATTGGGACCACAAAAGGGGCTAATTTGTGCGAGGGGACGGTGAAGATTGAAAGGCTCGTTTATTTTCTTCCTGCACTGACATGACAGTTCTTTGGTATTATCGAGAATTTGAAATTGAGCAGCGGTCTATCATGAAGCTTTAGGCCAACATCCAATGTGACGTCTTGACATTGAATATCGAAATCGAAGTGGTTGACGTCATCTCCGGGGATCAAGTCGTTGGGATCATCACTCTGGAATTGAATTTATCAGTAGAGTTCAAGTCACGAGTTGTAAGAAAATCAATCGTGGCCTTTAAACCTATCTTTCTCCACATTCCACAGGAACTCCTAGGAATTTCTTCAGTGCATTCACTACTGTGGCATTCTGGGTGCTTACGTTGTAGGAACAGAACAGAACGTCAGTTTCATGAGCCAGGACTTGGCCGATGTCATCGATAATTGTGTAATCCACCTTCACAGAATTCATTCATTTAATAGAGTCAGGCAAATAATTGTCTTGCAAGAAATTAATTGTTGGGGAAATTACTTGCCGAACTTTAGATTACAATGGGAATAATTATGTGCCATTAAATCATTTTCCATTGCTAATAAAAATATAAATAAAGATAAAAAAAAAAAATTTATTAAGTATCAGTGAAGAAATCCGAATTATCTGGTTATTAAGTAACGAAGAGGGTGAAATCTATTTAGCGGGTGATTAGTTTTTGTGGAATAGCTTGGGATCTAAGAGGGATAGCAAAATTTTTGTAAAGACATAGAGTGAAATGAACGGTCGAAGATTCCCGAAAGATCATCCGGGGATAATTTCTTCATGTAATTCCGGTGATAAAAAATCTCGAGAGACTGAAGAATAAAAGAAATACTTGCATAATGCGGAGTTTTATGCCTTGAGGGACGAGAGGTTGACGGTTCCTCTTAATTCGACGAGTAACACGCATGTCAACAATAAAAAAAATCCCGAAGCTCTACTTGTGGACGAGGAACCCGTGTTTGCCCCGAGCCTACTTAGCATATTCATCATGAACAGGAAATGCAAATTTCTCCTGCCCCGAGCCCAACTGCCCTGTCTCGACGCTTCGGGACACTGCCCTTTGAACCTTTCACTAGTTTTTTTTTCTTCACTTTTCAAATACGTGGGGACGAAAAGGCAAAACAAAAATATTTTTAAGTCCCGACAACACCAGAAGGACAATCAAAAACGAAAAAACAAAGGAGTCGGGCAAACCGCTATTTGTCATTCAATTGCATTCAAAAATCATTTCACAACATTTAAGGAATTATTGCGGATGTCTTCTCATTTTTCGATTTTTTTGTTCAAATTTGTCAGAAATACCGTTGATAAGATTGAAAAATTACATTATGTCACACGAATTTTCCTACGTTTTCCATAAACTTTTACAAATTGACGGAAGTTTAGCAAAAATTTAGAAAAATAGACGCCTACTACGAAAATTTGTGAATCATTGAATAATGATAAAAGCAAAAAAAACATATATTTTTTCAGCACAATCTAATTCGCAGTTTCCCAGAAATTCACAAAAAAATATAAAACATTAATCATTAATATTAAATTGCGGATAAAATGGGGAGTGAAAACGATGAAAAATCAAATAATGGTAATAAAAAATAGTAAAATACAATAATAATTTCGTAAAAATAGGAGAAGTTGTTAGAATACTCTTGTTTACCATCAAAATCAGCTGGAAAGTGGCTGTTCCAGAAATGACAACAAAAGACCCCCTGAAATATGAATTTTCCGGACCCCGCGCCCCAGGAAGCTGCGGCCCTCGATGGAAAAGCGTTCGTCACATGTGTGAAAGAAAACAGGGGGATATGAAGGGCCTGGGGGGTGAGGCACCACGTGTTGGTTGTTGTCCCTCTCTGGCCCCCTCCCCGGACACCCCTGGTGAGTCCCCATCATCGGTTGTCCCCAGAATAATTTTCAGTTTCGTCTCAGCCACCAGCCACGCACGATCATCATGTGTCAACTCCACAATTTCGCGCCAATTTTTTTATCTATTCCAATCAATCCCTCCTCCTCCCAGACATTTTTCCACGTTCATAAAGTGTAATTCATTCATGGACAGCCCCTTGTGCTGCAGCAGTAACAGATATTACGGACATAATCGGGAGTGCATTGGAAATTTCAATTGAATCTGTGATAATTTCAATGTACGTAGTACTCGAGATTTTGAAATAGCTGGTGCGTGTAATCATATGGTTTTCTGCTAACTAAAAGACCGGGGGCCCCCTGGGGTTTGATTCCACGGGGAAGGGGTCCGGAAGGGAGGGGGACTGAAACGAGTACAGAATCGCAGAACACGGAGTTCTACATCCGTATTTGTCTCGTTTTTTCTGTAATTGAATCATCAGCAAACAGTTTCCCAAGTTCATCCCAGTCATTAATCTTTGACCGGGGGAATCGTTAACGCTCAATTGATCCAGTGATTACCCAAAGTGAATGTCAGTTATTTGAGGAATTTGATAAGTTCCTTTTGTGTCGTATTTGAGATAATTCGGCTTTATTTAATGCAGTTGGTTTTTCAGAAGGGGCAGATGCACACTTGGTGTGTATAGCTAATCCCAAGTGTATCCCCCCCTCCCAGATGTTGGTAATGTTATTTGTCAGGCCCCTGAAGTCTTTCAGGTATAGAAGGGCCAGAGGGGAAAAATAAAAGAGCATGAGTATGGGACAGAGCAATCCAATTTATCCCTGACGTTTTAACGAAGGTGAGGATTACTTGCTCCGAGTCCAAGTGTGTCAAGAGTCAGTTCAAGATCTTTTCACGTGTTACTTCACTCCCATACAAGTACTTCACCCGATTTCCCTCGTTTTTCTTGAATTCCGTATGGATAAATGGACGCGAAGGTCGAGTGCGTCAAGTCTTTTAAGGACATTCGAGTATTTTACTGAGCAATTTGATTCGTTCATTAGCGATTACCAATTTTTAAAGGAAAACCCAGGCATCTAGTTGCTCCAAATTTTCGGAGAATTAATGTCTAAATATTGAGAACTTTCCTTGCCTCTGTGAGTGAAAGATTATCGATACAGTGTTTCGATATCTCGGTCAAATGACCACCCCTTCCTGTTTCCGCTTGTTAATCTCAGCCGCAGCATCCGTCAACATTTATCGTATAAATTATGTCGTTTTCCCTTTCGTCCCTTCAGTCTAGGAGAATTTGTCACAATGTGAACATCGAGAGTTTGTCAGAGAACTGAGTGATAGGGAAAACAATACCGATTACGTTGCAGCTCGTCATGGGGCACTTTGCTGATTTATTTGAAACGCTAGCTGCCTTTTGAAGGGCAACAATGTGGTCGGTCCTTCCATCAACTCCCAATATATCTGATAGATCTTTATAATATATTTCCTCGGAATTGGCATGCGTCTATGTGTTGTGTGATTGTAATTTGTTATTTCACTGTGGATTAAAATAAGATTATGCAGTTTCAATGAATAAATCATATTTCTAGAATCAGTTGTTTCGATTATTGCAATAAAAATGATAGATTAATGCAATTACTTCACCGACGTGGAGAGTCCATTTTCACCTATTTATTTTATTAATTACTCTTTTCATTTTTATCTCGTTACTTTTAACTTTTTTTTATCTCACATAAATTGTCGTCCTGTAATTTATTATATCGCGTCAATAAATACTTTTGGTGTTCATGATAACGTTTGAGGGTTTGGCTTTTATTATAAAGAAAAAAGATGATTCAAATATTATAGCATTGCAGGTGTCCGTTTGTGCATGAAAAGTGAAAACTAAATTATTTCAATTCCTGCAGCTTTTAGTTAGAGAAGATTAAAATTTCATCATTATCCAAACCGTGAGATGGACTTGGACATCTGTCACTTTACGGAAACGTCGGAAACCTTTAAGCGAACGACTTGTTCTGATTATTCAAATAGAACAAGCTCCTAATTTTCCAAAACTATTCTCAACTCATGCACCGAGAATTCCGATCCAAAAATAACCGACTGTTATTTATAAATACCCGTAACCCATCGACACCGAAAATTCCACGATTCCCGTAATTCAAACTCGTGAGTAATAGCCAACTGTAATGAGCCGAAGAAACGATAACACAATTCAATTCGATCCAAAGTGCCATAATAAATTTAAAAAATAAAACAAAAAAACAACCAAATCCGTTCTATTTATATTCACTTTAATAAATAATATACACATTGCTGATAATTGATGAGCTAACAAAATTTATCGCCCCTCATCATCAAAATCAATCTCCCCAAACATCGAGATCCAATGAAGAAAAAAAAAACTGTTCATTCACTTAAAACACCATCCATTTATCTAAAAAAACGAGAACGCAAAAATAAATGACTCAGTGCACTCGGTGCCATCACCCAAGTAGCAACCAAATATGATAATGTATAAAATGAATTGTACAACAAATGAAGAATTCGCCCTCCGACCATTTCCCCAATCCACATTCTCTCTTCTAAAATCAAAAACTCACTCTCCAAATGGTCATTAACCTCTGGCATAGTGACAAATCACTACTAAAATCATCAATATTAATTTTCATAATTGTCCACGACGTAATCAATCACTCGAATTGCCATCAAGAAACAAAAAAAAAAGAAAAAACAAAAAGTGTTCGACGCACTCACCGAATTGATCATTCGCTCATAGCAGTCAATAATTTCCCCACAAAAAATTTCCTCGGACGGAGTTTTCCCAATAAAAAAAAACGAAACATATAACCAACTGAAAGAACAAGGTAAGATATCCAACGCATTGAGTCTTGCCCACAAGTTTTTTTTTTCTTCTCTACTGGCAGGAGAGAAGCCGCAGTCTACCTCATCGATAGCGTTTTTCATAGTAGCTATTCACAGTGATCCATGAACAATCGATTGCACATTTATCGGTCACCAGAAGTGTGATTGCACATAGCCACCTCCCATGCCAATGGGATTGAAGCGATGCGGATGTATTTTTTCCATTCTCATAGCACCAGGCCCACCACCAGCCCCATTCCCAATATAATTGCCAGTGTGATGACCACCCCTAGCAAATCCAGGTGTACGATTGGTAGCACTAGCACCAGTGGCTGATGCTACTGAGCTGCCACGACCACGGGTACCAGGACCTGCAAGCCAATGCCTCATTACAATCATCAAAAACCCCCAGGAGTAACAGTAAATTGTTTGTTTATTCATAATAATCTAAGAGCGGTATCAAGCGAAATAATAATAAACCAATTGCAACAAACCACTTGAATCTTGAACATTGAATTGAACAAAGAAAAACTAAAAGAGCGAGCGGAACTTAAAATTCAAAATAACTTTTAGACTTTCTCCAATGAAATAATATCTCTGTATTGACTCTTTATAACTGGAATATATAATACTTTTTTGTAAGATTCGTATCGAGCCACATTACCTCCTGTCCAGAACTTTACCTCGATATAAACTCGTAGATTGTCTAGTGAAGTGAATAATGGAGGGATTGTTCATGATGGGAAATAATGACGAATAGGTAACAACAGTATTTTCCAATTTTTATCATATTTTCCATGTTTTTTTTTTCATCTGTTGCGAAGTGACAACTATCCCAGCACTCACTTTATTCTATCGGAGTTAAGAGTTTGTAATTGAAACGTTACACGAGAGCACGTGTCACGCGATATATATTCACGTAGCGATTTTCCATAACATTTTGAGATACAAGAACTTTTTTTTAATCTGAGTTTTAAAGTAATTGAACGCCGTCTGTCCTGGCGATTTTCCACGTTAATTAACTGAACGTAAATAATCAATTTATATTGCCATTATTCGTTGGAATACCGAGTAAATGAAGCGAATATAGTTAATGAAACACCTGTTATTGTGAAATGATTGTCACGATAGAAATCGCCAGCACAAAATTTCACAATCAATAAATTTGGATTCAACAATGCAACAATTAAATATAAATGTACAAACAATGTTTTCCACCTCATCACCAAAAACATTAATTAATATAACAATTCACAACGACGACTAGTATAGGTTCACCATGGAATTTATATTTCTCATTGAAGAGGTAAATATATACAATATGTATTGAAATTGAGTGATTGATTAGTCGACAAGAACTTTAAAGCATTTTTATTTATCCTAATATTAAACGTGCCACTGAGAAAACTTGCGGATACACCAGTTGTTTCTCATTGTTCAAGCAATATCAATAAATCTGATATCATAAAATCCCAATATTTCCTTATCTCTTTATCACAGCCATCGTTAGCACTACAAGACTTCTGTGTTCGTTCCAGAATAACTTGTATTCCATTTTTGGAACGATCCCCTGCCTTTGAGGCTTCGCCACATCCGTTTCCTTCGAACCTTACATTTTACTAATTTTTCATCGTTTCATTGTTTTTAAATGGTCTAAACTCCAAGTAAGCTAATCATATGTACAACAAAGAGAAGTCAATGACAAGAAATTCTTTAGTGAATTCAATGGAGTGGCATTTTTTTTTGTCTATTCATTTCAACGCTTCGAATAAGATTGAGATTAGTTACCTAATTGTTGGTATTAATTGGTACGTAAGCTTCATTGCAACTGTTTGAGCCTTCGGTTCATTCGGTTATCGGTATTCATGTGTATACATTTATTAAAAGCCCATCTAAAGATGAACAGAAACATCAGGTTATTCGTTATTCCTTTGTATATGTTTCAATATTCCATCGATATTATCGCAAGCCCTTTGCTCTTTATCATTTTCACTCGTTCGTAAGGTCTAAACTCTGTCAAAAGACGAAAATCTTCTAAAATTCTTACGTCTACGTTATCAAGATAAAAATGTCAGACGGACAAAATTGGCGTTTAATCTAATTATGATGAACAATTAAATGACGTGGAAAGGTTATTTTCATCGTTTGATTGCGGCTCTCTAGGTGTTACAATATGTTCATTTGATTAATTACTCAATTCGTAATTTCAATTTGCTTACCCTGTTCCAAATCCATCACTTCTTCATTTTTCCTTGCTCTCACATCAATCATCTTGCCACAATTTATCATATCGCGTTACTAACTCCTCATGGTCATAACGTAATGCTAACGTTTTAAGAGTTGCCTCTCATATTATCATTGAGAGGCAAAAAAATAAATTCAAACTAAACTTTAGCGTAAAATGTGCCCAAGAGATACTCCAGGCAAATTCCAAGAGTAAACTGTTCTATTCTCGACTTGGCATATTATGTCATTGAACATATGCGTTGATTCAATAACATCGAAAACTAATTTTCCTCTGAATTTCATTGGAAAGCCAATTGAAAAAAATTAATCATTTCAATTACTGTAATTCTGATATTGCTGATATTTTTTCCTCGTTGCGTACGGACAATCTCCTTGGCCAAATGGTAAGCAATGAAATTAGAAATAGAAGATTAAAATATACTGGTGATTATCCAATCCCACAATATCAGTAGCAAAGTGATAACCCGTTACTCGTCATCTTCGACATCTGCATCTCTGTGATTATCCCCAGAGCAAGTGGTTCCAGGAGAAAGGTCAGGGATATTTCCGTCGTAGGTTGTTAAAAATTTCCCCAAGAAAAAAATATCTCGACTTTTCCCCAAACAACTCGCGACCGAGATAATCCCACCATCACAAGCCACGAAAAACCGACGTCCCAGGTTTTTTATTTCACTTCGCTCCAGATTTAACTCTGCAGTTTAATCCTCACGATGAAATTTTGAATTGAAAAACACTCATGCACGTGATGAGAAAAGCCTCGAGTTGATGTAGAATGCAATGCCAACTTCATATAATGAAAATTCATTTCTTATGCACGTTTTAAACTATCAGCCTCTTCACTACACACAAGCACATATTCTATGCGTTTTTTTTCTCTATTGACAAATATTTTCCTTAACTAACTCCCCAATAACCATTATCACTGATTAATGTACCTCACAATAATGATTTGATGTTCTAAACATGAAAATGAAGCGAGTAGAAGGCCTTTCCTCTGTTCTGAGCAATTGTCTAAAAATTCCACTGGGATGACAGAAAAACAACACCAGGACAGAAATTCGGGATCAAAATGATTGGGTTTTTGACAAGTACCTCAAGAATTCATCTCTCATAATTATACACGAAAAAGAAAAAAAAAATTATTCTGTATTTGACGAAACAATATTTCTAACGATGTACAAAAAATTAATACAAAAAACGTTTACTTGCTAGTCGTAGATCAAACGAACGTACTTCTCTCTCTATAAATTTCTTTATCACATACCAATCAATTGTAATAATAAATAAACAATTCTTCATAAACGCGGATTATGAATGTCGACGAATAAACGTTCTGTCACATATTTTTCATCTCAAATAAATTTAAATCTCTTTTGTTCTTGGCCCAGTTCCAAACGACAGAAACTACCAGTGACAATGAAAAAAAACCGTTAATGAAACAGATATTTTTCTGTTAATTTCTAAAGGAAAATTAATTTAATTGCTGTCATCGTGTGAAACAGAAGGGGGAGAGGGACGATTCTCCATTGTCCATTCGATAATGCTGTCATCGTGCGCTGATGAGAGTCGATTGGTTCCCATTACTTTTCCATACTTTATACTTTTTTCCATATAAAAGAAAAAACACGAACACAAAAAAATCACATTGATCAACCATTTCATCGTAACGCCTCGTTGATTGTTTGTCTCTCTCAATAAATAAAATATCTTCACATGTGATATAATTATCTCTCTGCTCTTAAGATACTTCAAGATTGCGGGCAATATAAATTGTTATTTACTATCTTTTGTGGCCCGCGATTAACGTAAATAAATATAATGTGTAAAAGGAAGGTAAATAAATTGAAGGAGTAAAAGTAAGATGAATACTTAGTCCCGGATTGTTGCTGTAGCCGAGTGAAAACCGTTAACACCGATTATTTCTCAAAAAATCGTTGGCATTTTTTTTTTGTTTTAACGATTTTTTTTATAGCGGCTTGTGCACGAACCGACGTGGTGCCGACAACTTCTTATCTGGCGAAATAGTTTTAAGTTCATTAGGGAAGTGCCCGAATGCTTAACGAGGCGTGCATGTAAAAATAAAAATTTTTGTGAGATGGTGGAACAGAATTAGTCAACTCCTGGTGAAGACAGATCAGTTATTTTGAAAATATTTTGAAAGATAATCCCTACACTTTTCAAAATTACTCGTATCGATTACAACATTTATCTCATTCCTCTCCACGAGAGATAATCCATTATTATCACCATGTCACAACTGGAATGATGAATGAACAAAGTAAAACAGTAAAGTGTGAAAACCACGTCCTGACGTCCCGAAAAAAAAAATCATAAGTTCCAATCGAACGAGCTGTTTTCAAGATTCTAAACGTGTGATTTCATGTGACGATTGCATCTTCAACAAATGAATATTTGTTTTAAGATGACAATTTGAGGAATGTCAGAATGATACATGAGTGAAATTCATTGAAAACACTCACCGCGACTCTGATTGTAGCCAGCCTGCCAGCCAGCGTAGTAAGCAGCCTTTTGTTTTCCATGTTCCTCGGCAATTTTGACACTGAGTGGCTCAGAGCCTCCCTCAGGTATCGTCCCATGCAGATGATTTATCGCCTCCTGCGCCTCCTCACGTTTGTCATATCTGCAAAATTACCCACTAAATTCATCCGAAATCTCCCAACAAATCAACAAATTCCCAAAACAATTCCATCATCTTCAAATCCATTAATAGATCATCGATTCTATTTACAAATTTTTGGTGGTACTTTTGCACGTTTTCAACCTGTGATTTTGGACTCGTGAAAAAGTGGGTCACTTATAGTACAGGCGTAAAATGAAATTGTGCAAGGAGTTGTGTATACTTTGAGGCCAGGTAGAGGAGATCAGAAATAATCTGGCAAGTAGTTTGGTGAAATAAATATATAACTGCCTTCTCACCGTAGCATGTTGGAAATTGCACAAGACTTGAATTTGATTTCTCTTGTATAGAGCCCTGAGCCAGCTGTTTGTTAATTCTACTTGATTTCCACCTTCTCCCAACAAATGCACCACTCAAACCTCTGGTTGAATTAGTTCCAACGATATAACATTTTGAACGATGTGCAAATGAGCAATACAAAAACCTATTTGACTCGTATTTTCGTATTCGCCAGTTCTAAACTAGCCAAATGTCCCTCAATAAATTGCCACATTAAATATCAATGCCGTAAATAAATAATTATAATAAATAAACAATTGCCCATAAAACTGGCTTATCACGGTCTATTCCGAATGATTTAAATTTTCTTTTGCTCTTGGATCGGTGCCAAATGACAAAAAATATGAAGGAATTGCTCGTAAAACCGGGATTTTTCTGTCAGTTTCCGAGGGAAAATCACGGCCTCGTTTTCATCGAGTCATACTGCACGAATTAAAGTGTAATTATCACCTGACAAAGGCGACGCCCCTGGGGAGCCCAGTCAGCTTGTCTTTAAGAATGTTCTTCTGCACAATCTGCCCGAATTTGCTGAAGATATCCTCGATCTGGCCCTCCGTTATGTTTCTAAAGACGAGAAAAACAATGATTATTCTGCAGACTCAGCTATTCGCGGAGAATAGTTGGCTCGTTTTAATGTAATTACCGAGGAAGATTAGTCACGTATAGATTTGTTTCTTTAATCTCTTCGCCCGATGGCCTTGCGAATGACACTTTTAATCGTTTGTTCTGAACCTGCAGACCATTAAGCGTGGTTATTGCTGTCAGAGCATCCTCCGCTTTTGCGTAATTGACGAACCCAAATCCATAACTGTAACCAGTCTGAGGAGACCATGAGGATTAATAGTTTGACAGATGTCAATTATTCAAGACAATAGACTAATCAAGAACTCCACTCAACCATCACCAGTGAATTTTTGAAAAAACTTAATGAGACAGAGTAAATGATTTGCCAATTCCGCTGAATGGATTAATTTCTATCCCTTTGATTAAATAATTAAATTGCTGTTAAGTGGTATAAAATGAATGGGAAATGGGGTTCACTCACTTTGTAGTCCTTCATAACTCGACACGATTCAACTGGTCCAATAGTGACAAACATACTGTACAATTCTTTTTCAGTCATGCTCTGTGGTAAATAATTGATAATGAGATTGGTACGTGCATCATCTCTCCCACTCGACTGCTGATCATTGTGTTGCTCCGACATTTTCCCAGTCCTTAACTAATCCCCTCAAGTTTTACTCTTCCAAGACAGTAATATCCACTTCTGTACGAACGTTGTCACTATCCCCAGCAATCATTCAACTCGTCCTTGATAAATCAGTGCTGCTCCAACAACTTCCAATTCATTCACAATATTTCCGTATTCGTATTTAACATTTTAATAAATGTCCCGATGATCGCGTCGTTTAACCAGCGTGTTCAGAAGGGTCGGCAAATAAAAAAAATATAAACAAATTCATTACTACGGGGACAATTTTTTTTTCTCTTTGCACGCTGTGCCATGTTCCTCTCAAACTTACGATTTTCTCAACAATGTTGCAACGAATTTTGATTCAATTATCTTTCTCAAAAGCAGTTGAAATAAATATAAAAATAAAATTGCATTATCTCGACTTGTCTATTAACTTTTTTTTTATTGACGCCAGAAACCTGCGTGTCAGAAACAAACAAACAAAGGCAAGTAAGGATACAAAATGAAAATTATTCCTGTCGCAAGTACGTTAAACTAAAGCAACACCTGATACGTAATTGAAACAAGGATAAAATCGTGAAATTTAACCGCTGTGTAAATGAGACTTTGAGGTTATGGGACGATACAGCCGGACGCCGACTGAATTGCTGAGTGCAAAGAACAAAAAACGAGTGAATTCATGACAAACAAATGAACGAAATAAAATCAATTACCAACACAAGCAAAGGACGATGTAGCTTCTCTAGGATAAAAATTCACAATTTCAAGTACTCGATCACAACACCACGACTCTTGTGTTTATACCCGAGCAGTCGATCGATTCGTATTACCGGGAATTGAGAGGGCACATCGAGTCCAATAAAATGATGGTAATACTTGGGTAATGCCGATAACCGGAGGAATTTCAACAGCACTCAAGGACAATTGGGTAAACAAGGTGGGATGAGAGTCAATGGAGTGTTTACACTTTGTTGTTATAATTCAAGTGATGAATTGAGAGATTTTATTTACACCAGAGAGGAGTATTAGACGGCGCTGAGGGCCCGGGAAAACGCGGGTGTATCCAGGCAAACTAGTGAATCGACCAAGCTGTCAGAGAGTGGTGGGGGTACACAAGAGCCTAGTGAATAGAAAGAGACAGATATTTCGTGAAAATTAATCAAGCCCTCTATCTCCGTTAAAAAACAATTTATCCATTTTTGTTTCCTTGCCCCCGTATTTTATCAATTACCATGGAATAAATGTGAATTCACTCACGCACGTTGGAGACGTCAATTCACTCGCAGATTATGTAAGCACATCATTACCACTATTGTTTTCTTTTTTTTTTCCCCCTCGGTTGTGCTCGACGCTGGATAATTTTCCTCGGAAAAACGGCGGGGAACAGCGGCTCAAGGGTATTCCATGGGGAAAAATATATCGACGATTGTCTCCGGCACGTCAGAGGGAAGCGAGACTTGGCATTGCTGCGCCTGCGCAAAATCTGCGTTTTGTGCGTTTTTTTTTAACTCGCTTTTTTTTTGTATTCGTTGGAAAATTTTCGCGAAATCGCGACGCGACAACGTCCGTCAACCAACTGAGCCCCAGCCCTGACCTGCCTCGCTGGTGCACCCTCATGACGCCCACCACGCCTCCCTCCCTTTTCCAACCCCCCGGTTGCGCCTCGACCCAGTGGGGAGGATTTTTTTGCGTTTTTCTGAGGGATTTTTTTGCTTCCCGCTCGCCCTTCGGGGTGGAGAAAATAGACCAGAGAGGGAATGACTAATCCGGGGAGAATCACCCCTCAGTAAGGGCTTCAGGCCCTAACATTTCATTTATTCCATCAATTATTATTAGTTAATTAGTTGCTATTAATTATTATTATTTAGTTATTGAGAACTCAAGGAATTTGAATCAGAATCTGGTACATGTATTTGCTATTTCAATAACTTGGAATGTTTATGTGGTGATTTCAGGGTGGAAAATAATATTGAGTTTTCAGGGGACGAAAATAAAAAATTATAGGAGTGGAAAATTCCAGGATATAGTTTCCCTCAACTTTTATTAATGGTGATAAGGTAATTCACTTGAATTTCCACCCTGAATTGGCACTACCAAATGTTTTCGGATTTACAATATTCTTTCCGTTGTTACCCGTGCAATCGAGCGAATACCTCAGCTCGAAAAGGCAGAGGTAAAAGCACAATTTGAGGCTGTTTGTACTGAAATTAAAACACGTGGCACAGATATCCGCTTTCTTGGCAGACTTATGCACAACTGTGAATTAGGATCGTTGAGTTGACCACCCACACTCTCCGGGTGCGTCACCAGACACTTCATTATTATTCGCGAGTTGATTTTCCACCATTTCTCCAACTATATCTGCCCGTTCAAGTGCACGGTTAATTGAACGAGCGCAAATAACGGAAGTAATAACATTAACCCATTGAAAATTTGTTTTAAACAAAAAGCCCCTGTGGTAGTCCAATCGTGAAATTATCTCGAGAGCACGGCAACTCGTTTATTCCATCATTCCCGAGACAATTTCTCAATTAACAAATTAATGACGCTAATTAGAGCTTCAACACTGAAAATCAATTATATATCTATAGATAGTTGAATAATTTTATGAAGAAAAGAACGACGAGACTTTGATTTCCTTTCATCATGAAATGCGAAAGTTGAATAAAAGTTTTCTCATTACCTATCACTTATTGCTAAATTGTCGTTCTAATTTTTCTAATTACCACTCGAGATTTAAATGTCACAATGTTCTCTGATTGGTCTCATATCCTCGCAAATTGGCGCCGAGGCGCACATGACTGTAACACTTGCTGCCGCATTGCGCGATTCATCCAGTAACTATTGCATTGCATGAATTCCCCCTCTAATTTTCGATTTTTCTCCCTTTCGCTCTATATCGACGGTTAGATTTTTGGGGTCGCATTGCCGCATAGTCTCCCAGGGCTAACACGACTGCGCCAGACCGGATTATGCGCATTTCTGGGTTTTTGCGACAAAGGAGATCATTGCGGTCAAGTGGAACGACGAGATAAGGGGATTCTGTCAATTTTCTCATTTTTATTACCTTTTCTCCAGAGGGAGGGGAGTCGGTGGTTCTCGGAATTGCTTAATAGAGCCCCTCAAGCCTGAAAATTCCGTTTCATAAGCGATAGGTATGGAATAATAGTTCTTTCGCCCGAGAATTGATGCGTTCAATATTTATAGGTGAAATCCGTTCAAACATTTGATGAGAATCGAAAAATTGATAAAATCCTGAACAACTTAATTCCTCAGCAATGAATTTTTATTTATATGATTAAGTAAATGAATACCGAGCGTTTTACGATGATATTTTATTTCTCCCGTCAGAGAACAATATAAAAAGCATAAAAAAGTATAAGTGTCATAATATCATTGGTCTCCACAGTCTGCTATGAATTGTTGAGAAAACTGGGGATTCAACAGGGAATAGCTACCTTTTAGTGTATCAAAGGTAAAAGCTTTGATCTCTTTTCGATATCCAGCGCGCACTCGTAGGAATGCTTACAAGCTAGCGTATAAATAATAGATGATAGATTTCACGGGATGAAGTCACCGACATCAGAAATTTCTTAATAGTAATTATCTAGCCAACTAATTATTATCGTTTGTTCGTTGGGTCCCTGGGTTTATCTGAGGGAGGAGAAACCTCGTGATTTGATGAACCGAAAGGGTCGCAGGGGCTCTCTTGGCCCTGAGGATTTGGCTGGCCCTGGTGGGGTGTCATTTTCCTTTCCCCAGGCGTGTCTCGGTGATTCTATGCCGAAGGGAGAGTAGAGTTTCGTCGGGGTGCGACCCAGAAGGCACCGAGAACGAGTCTGAGGAGTTGCAGAACTTCCTCCATTCATCGGCGACTGCTGCTCGTCCAGGATTTGTCTTCTTCTTGTTGAACTTCGAAATTTCTGGGAAAATTATTAGATTTCATTTATAGAGCGGAATTAGAGTTACAAAAAAGGTTCTTACAAAAATTTGGGTTTATTATTACGCACTGTGCATTCACTATTAATTACCTGGGAAATTGTTCCAATGGTCGTTCTAACTGACGAAATAGTCTTCGAGAGTTTTTCCGCACCCGTTCTGAAGGCTCGCCTTGAATCCGCGGATACATTCCCAAGGCTCAAATTGTTCCATCCTCTGGCTTCTGATTTACCGTTGGATTTATCCTTTGGGTCGGGTTTCTCTTTATCGAATTTGTCCTGAAGCCTCTGGCGGAGGTTTCGACGGCTCTGTGACACCTGGGGCGAACGGTCCGCAAGGACCTCACGGTGAAAAGTAAAAGAAACACTCCTCGAATCTGGACGCATTGTTCAATACTCTAAAATAAAAAAAAAACCCCCCAGAAAATTCAGAATTTTTCCACTCCATTAAAATAATTCCTCGGCATTTAAATCATCCCTTAATTCAATAATTGATTTAAATAAATAAAAATTATCTCTCAAAATAAAAATCCATCTCATATCTCAAAAATTGATAACAACAAAATTTGTCAAAGTTCATAAAATCGTGATAATCATAAAGTATTAGTTTCTGGTGTTTTAAAAATTTGATAAAAACTGTACAATTATTATCAAATATTCACTCCAAAAAATTAATGAAAAATTGATGAAAGATAAATAAATAATCAACAAACTCCTGCAGTTCACAATGTATGCACTCGGTACCCCAAAATATGTTTTTTCAACAACATAATAACCCAAATTACCTTAAAAAATCGCGTCTAAACGTCACAACTGACCGTTACACTTGACCGTCAAATTCACAGACGCGTGGTAAGTCGTAACGGCAATCAGACCGAATCTCCTCCACCAAAAAAGCAACAAATTCCTCCCCACCAAGAATAATGTCTAATAAATTCCTCGAATAAATTTTTCAACTCAGTCTTAGATTACCCGAAAACTTATTTTAAAAATATGGCAAGCCGTAAATACTGTCTCAGTCTTTTGGTTGACGGGTGTTCATCCCCTGGTGCAGAGTACAGGCAGATGTGAGCAGATGCAGCAGTTGTCTCTCTCTGGTCCCCACAGACGCCTTGGCGCGGGCTTATCGATCTGTCAAATCAGTCTGTTACTGAATTTTTCAGGCAGATGGCAGGAGAACATTTCTAGATGTCACTGCGAACACGCGCTGAATTTTTTTAACGATTTGAACGGAGCAGAACACATGAACATTCATGAAATGTTAGCAAACGTTGGAAAAATAATTTATTACTAATTGATGAGTGAATAAATCATTCGTACTAGTATTATTTTATTCATTCATCTTTTCATGTATTCCTCTTTGATTTTTTACAAACGGAGGCATTTTTCCTTTTCGTTGATATTAAATCCATCGAATGGCAATTAATATGGAATAATATCTTTGTTAATTAGTATTTACTTCATCATAATTTTGAGTTTTCTAGGGGAAAATCTCGGAGAAACTCCTCAGCTTCATGTTCTGAATCGACTTCTTCAGGTTCGGTAAAATGAGAGACCAAGGACGATCCTAGAGCGTCTGCTATAATGTTCACAGTTGTTCGAATTCTATCACTGAACAGAAAAATTCATCAAAAGAATTCGCTAGGTTCGCCAGGTTCTTGTTGATAAGCTTTTTCGTAGGTTTTTCCTTTATATTCTCATTCGGTTTTACTTACACAAAACAGTCAATTGTTATTATTAGCGTCACATCCTCTGCGGGGATTCCTATTGATTGCAGGACAACAATTAACATGACGTATCCACCATTTGGGAGTCCAGCAGCTCCGATGCAGGAGACAGTGCATGTTATCCTGAAGAAATCGTTCTAGTTTATTCTGAAGGGGTGATCTCATATTCAGAGGAAATTAGGGGGATACTAACGCTATCGCAATAACTCCGGGCAGAGAGAATTCTAGTCCTCTTAATTGAATGATGAACAGTGCACCGATTGTCTCATACAATGCGATTCCATCCATATTGATTGTCGCTCCAATTGGGACCATAAAACGCGAGACTTTTCGATTTATGTTGAGACCGTCCAAGCATTTTAGAGTAACCGGAACTGTCGCTGTACTGAAAGTCATTAATAACAAAATTGATCAATCATCAAAGGCATAATTATTCCCATAAGCCTTGTAGAAAATATCTTGATGAAGTTTAGCGAAAAAATAAATCTGCCAACTTCCGTTTTTTTTTTCAACTGATTTCTTCCGATTAATTCATTTTCACCTGGACGATGTTCCTATAGCTGTGATAATTGCGGGTCCGATTTTCGAGAGAATTGTAAAAGGAGACTTCCTCGTGCAGATGAAATAAACTGTAGGGAGAACGATCAGTCCATGGATTAGAAGACCTAGGAATACTGTAGCAATGTAGACTCCCAATCTGGACATCATCCCCCCGATGTCCTCCGTCTGCAGAATTTTCGCTGGTATCAGGAATAGAACACCTATCGGAACCACCCTGACGAGGAATTCAGTTAATTGTATTATAAATTATTTACCCACAAGATCGTGGACGCTCTTTACATTATTATGGAGTCCATCACCATCATGCTGACGTCTGAGAGAGTGCGGAAAAAATCTAAGAGGGGTTTTCCCTGGTCTTTTGTCCTACCAATAGCAACCCCCAGTAGTAAACTAAAGCCGACGAGTCCTAGGACGTTTGTCCCCGGGTTATCCTTATGCGAAATTACCCAAGAGTAAATGTCGCCTTCCTGGGAATCATCAGTCACATTCTCTCGATTTATCAGGACTGTTTGATACTGAAAAATATATTCTTTTCAGTTTAAATCTTAAAATGTTTTAAATAAGGAAAATTCCAAACTTTACTTGGTACATGCAGGACTTCACTAAATTATCCGTCACGAGGTTTCTGAAAAAAGCAGTACCTGGGTTTATCTAATTAAAAAATGATCAATAATGGTAATGTAGAATGATGAATTTTGAGATATTGATGATCTATTCACCTTATAAGATCTAAAAAAGTATCAGTGGTGACGAATTCCTGGGAAAACTGAAAACCTTCGTTTTGGATTTTGTGGAACCTGCCGGGTTGAATAGTAACAGCAAGTAGCACAGACAGAGTAATTCCTAGCGTTGTGGTAGTGAAGTAATACATCGCGGCCTTGATTCCAATACTTCCAGAATCACTGACACGACAAGTGGCACTGACAATGCTGGAGACAATCAGCGGTATAATGAGACAATTGACACTTCGCAGGAACAATTCCCCCGGGAACTGGAAGTACATGATATTGCGATCTGCCCAGGGCTGACTGGTGAAAGACTTGAGAATTATTCCAATAATGAATCCACAAATGACTCCGATTAGCGTGAAAATTGTCGAATGTTTCTCTGACACTTTCATGATTTTTATTGAAATCAAAATGTCCAGACGTTTCAATTAAATGTTCATTAAACAATTCAATTAAGTAATTGAGTTGATGATCTTCTGATAACGAAAGCAAGACTTTTAGTTTCACTGAAACATCAGAGGAATATCTGCGTTTGCTACCGTCTGTTATCTCTATTCTTATCATTAAAGAGTAAATCACGGGGCTAGGAGAAAATTACCTGAGTAAATCACAAAAATTCTTTTGAATACAATTTTTATTGATTATGATTCATGAAATGATTTTGAATATGAAAGCCGAAGGATTCGAATAATACATTATTCCTCACACGAGTAAATATGCATTCGTTAAATTGCTCTTCCAATAATTAAAGAATGTCAATCACCGTCGCATCATCACCATTCGTCGAGTCTCAAGCGACATCAAACATCAACAAACAATTATTTAACACAATTACTTAAAAATCGTTATTACCGAGACTCGATATTCATGCAGGCCCACGCTGGAGTCGAGGTTTTCTCTTAATTTGTACTTTAATGCCAACAGGCTCGTTCTATTTACAAATCAGCTGTCTCTGATCCCTCAATTTATTTTTACTAAAAAAACACAGGATTAATTTTCCGAGTCCTCCAGGCCGGCACATCGGTAGTACGAAGAATGTTTCGTTGACTATAAACATTAGATGATAACGTGAACACAATTTTGTCGTATTTGAACACTGACAATGTGTTTTGTTTTCTCTTCATTATGTAAATTCCTTGATGAAGTTGTGATAGTTGGAATGAAATTACAAAAGAATTCCTATTAGTATCTCCTTCTGGTTTTCCATCTGTTTAACGTCAGGTGCTAAACAAAACTGGCTAAAGGCAAGCTCATGGCACATTTTAAATTCTCTAAAGACTCGTCATTCCATTTCTCCGTGTGTTCTCGTTAAACGTAAGAAACATTTATGTACATGTTTTAATAAGTTCTTTTTGGCTGTTCACCGCCCCCGTCGATTTTACAAATAGCATATGCACCTCTGCATCATCGATGAAATGAAGATAAACTTGTTCAATAAATAAGTAGGCGATTATCAATAAAATGCTCAGCCTTGACAATAATTCAAGGGAACAACTGAGATATGTACATAATTTTAATACAATAATGCACGGCATTTGTGTGCAAAGTAAGGTACTTTGAAGGCCTAAGAAATACTTTGTGTGTTTATTCATTAATTTATCCGGTTGTCATCACACTATCCATCAGGGTAAATCTCACCCCCTTTTGCTCTCTTTATTTCTCTCATTACGTCATGTTTACTCGTGAAATCCGAATGTAATCACTGCTCTCACTCATTCACATATATACTCTTACACAGAAGACTATTCTTCAGGTATTTGCGCCCCTCTTCCATCATCTTCCCCCTAAATTCACGTGGAAACATTCAATAGAATTCTCATAACGTCTCAACAATTCAATAACTCGAGGAGAAAATAAAATATCTGCATTCTTTTATTTTTCTCGTGTTAAAAAAATAAATAGAAAAGTGCTGGATACGATAATTTAAAAAACTTTTTAATCGATTAAAAAATATATTACGAAAATTTTCTTTGAAATTGTTTGGCAGATTAGGAAAGTACATTTTAGTTCTTATGGCACAGAATGATTATTCCATTGATGGTTCTCTCGACTTCACTTACCCGAACTAATTAACATTAATATCACAAAAATTTATGCTCAATACCTTCGTTAAAGGCTGGGAGCAAACGAAAGGATGTGGATTCTGCGTTTGCTCTTACCACTTCATGCCTGTTTTGTATTCAGCACTTTTCTTAACTCAAGTCATTCTCGGTATTCTCCATCAATCATAGATTTTGCATTTTTTTATGATAAATAAAACACGTTGAATCACGAGGGTTTGCAGGATGTGAATTTTTTAACACTAATGCAGGAGATTGGCTTACGCCAACGTCTTTTCGGATTGTGTGGATTTGTTTTGCTGGAATTGCTCTTTTGATCGCTATTGGCTCGGTCCAACTCTAGAAGTCTCCTTTCCTCTGGAAATTCGAAGAAAATCCCACTTTCAATATTTCCCACCTTTTAAATCATTGTAATAAGTACCAAAATAATTGAAAACATTCTCACTAGTGGCTTCATCTACAGAATAAAGTCAATAATTAGTCAAAACTCCTGAAAAGGTTCTACGAGACAGCGGTTTAGTATTAAAAACTCAAATAGCTAAACTAAAAATCATAAACCAAAGAATGTACCCAGGTGTTCACAAGTCCGTAGTCCAAATAAAAATATGCACGTGAATAGTGCAGACGTTATTGTTACAGTATGATGCATGGTTTTGAAAGAAATACGAGTAGACGATTGGATAAAGTGCGTTGAGATTTCCGTTTCTCATCTGAAAAGCAATTCATTAAATTGAATAATAAAATGGTTCAGAGGGTTTACTTGATGAGCTCTCTTGGTTAATGCATGATGCGTAGGTGCCATAAATTGATGATGATTACTTCAAAAAACTAATGAACATTGCAACTCACCGATTAAACGTTAAAGCGGTGGAGGTTACTTCACACAAATGACAGAATTACGCGAATAAAATAAATCGAAATGAGCTGAGATGTCTTAAATTTTAATTTTCATCCCCAACTGCATTAGACAGATAAATAAATTCTTGAATCGTGGAATAAAGAGTTATAATTGATTCATGATCGAAAGCGAGTTTATGCATGAGAAAAATTGAAATGTTGTGACATATCTCTTTATTCCAGGAATCTAGTTGGTCAAGAATTTCTTTAACTCACCATTCAGTTGTCTCTCTGTATAATAAGTAGGATCTTGATCTTCTCCGTAATAATATTCCATGAGATAAGGTAAAACCGTCATTCTGTGGCAGGTGCTGCCCTTTGGGGGTGGCACAGCGACTTCCTCGTTGGTTCTCTCAAAACGACAAATTGTCCAGGGGTGGTGCCTGATCTCTTGTATTGTGAATCTCTTTTCTGGCTCCTTCTGCAGCATTCCCACGAGTAGAGAAGCTAGTTCACCTTCGACTCCCTCTGGTATCGTGTACTCCCCCTTGCCAATATTCTCGTATAGTCTGTAAATGTTATCTCCCTCGAATGGATATAATCCAGTCGTTATATTGTACCTGTGGGAGAGTGAATATAACAGGATTAAATGAAATATTAAAATAAAAATCAATGGAAAAATTCTCTCAGCAACTCACAGAGTGACTCCACTACTCCAAATATCCACTTTGAATCCAGCAAATGTCTCACAACCATTTGCTATCTCCGGAGGCTGAAACGCCGGTGATCCCTGGCCCATAGTGCAAGTATCATCAATAGCGAATGAATCTAAAGCCTGAAAATTCATTAAATTAAATTTCCCTGATTCCTGAAATATCCGGGCTGTTCCTCAGAATTTCTTCTCACCTCTGCCACTCCGAAATCGCTGATCTTCAGAGTTCCCCCAGGTGTTAATAATAAATTTCCTGGCTTGATGTCCTTGTGGATGATCCCCTGGCCATGGAGATACTCCAGTCCATCAACCAGTTGTGTAAAATAGCTGTGGGCCTGCCAGATGGGGAACCTCTTGCTTGGGACACTCTCCAGCATGTCCTTCAAATCAACAAAATTCCCAGTCACGTATAATTTTCTAAAATTGAATTATTGCTTGCTTGAGATGGATGGATTACCTGCAGTCCACCGATGCAGAACTCCATGATTAAATACATCTTCTCTTTCTCTGAATTGTACAAAACGTCGACCAGCTCTATGACATTTCGGTGTTTCAATCTTTTCAACATTTTAATCTCCCTGAAACGATTGTTTATTCATTTTTAAGGATGAATTGATAATGCCGAGGGGGAAAACATACCTCTTGACGTTTTCCTCGCCATTGGGTATTCTCCTGAGTTTTTTCTTCTTCAATATCTTGACAGCACGTCTGAAGAGAGTTTCAGAGTCGAGCATCTCCTTGACTTTGCCATAACTTCCCTCCCCCAACAAATCTCCCATTACATACTTGCCAATTAATTTACACCTCTTCTTCTTCTCCTCGTAAATAATTTGATCGGAATCAACTCGATGAAAGAACGTGTTTATATCGTCGAGATCAGGATCATCATTCGACCATGTTACAGGCTCAACATCACCGAATAGGTCATTATCAATGTCATCGTCGTCTGGATCATAAATTGCTATTCTATTGTCCATCTTTGACGTATAGATTTACCACCAAATTACCCTCTGGATTCATGGATAAATAAAAAATATAAATTTATTGATGATTTATTTAACCTAAAAAACGTAACCGGCACCACCATTCTTGAATTTATCGCACTAGGAGGCAGGGCTGTGGCCTCTTCTTTCATTTATTCTCTTTTTGTCTCTTTCGTTAAGGTGTTATCACAACTGCAATGGGTGAGAGCGACGGAAATCACCAGGAGATGATAACGGATATTGAAATGAAATATTCGAAAAATTATGAAACCCATAAGTCGAGAGTTCAGTCAATTTTTACGCTTATTCTTTTAAAACCAAAGTTTCACATTTATTTCTTCTTTTTTTTCTGGATATTCATAGAAATTCACATCGGAATAAAAAAACTGGTGATAGGGAGAAAAAAAATTGATTAGAATGATATTGAGAAAATGATGGAAAACAGTTTGATTGCTCATGGATTCTTAATATATTATATACAGTAATCCATCGTTACAGTGCGCGTATAAATAGGGGAGAATAGTGTGAAATTTTTTTCTGATAATTAATGAACAAATACTTGAGAAGTTGGTGTGGAATACAAAAATGAAAAAAAATGCTGACTCAGATAAATAAATGTAGATTCATTTTTTTTCAGGCACAACTTCACTGATACCATACATGCCAGCAAGTAATCGACCATGTGAAATAGGTACAGGTTCTTTTGGAGGTAAATATGGGCCTTTTTCTCCCATGTAAACGTAAGGTAGTCTCAAGACCCAGTAAGCACTCTGGGACAGTCTGATGGGTTCTTCTTCACAGCCAGTTATAAAAATAGGAGCTGGTGGTGGGCCCGGTTGAACTCTTGGATTTAATGTCACATGAACAGGTGCCTTTGGTGTGACAACGTGGATTCGCATTAATTGAGCAATCAGAGGTTTTGTTTGCCTAGAAGAATCGATCGTCAAATAATTAAAACCAGGTAGTGAGTTACAATGCAGTAATAATCAGATGTGTAAATAATCAAATTACCTGCAAGGACATGGGAAATAAAGAGGCATATCAGCAGTGCTGGAAGTGACTTTATTTCCACTATCTTTGACGATTCCATTGCCAGTTGCTTTCAAGACTTTATCTGGCGCTGCTGCCATAAATCGATGCCCCCTTGGGCACTCGTACTCAACCCCAACGAATATCTTGACAACAAACTCCTTTCCACCTTTGGATTTTCTGCACTTCAAGGCGTTTGAATTTTGAAAACTCTTACCACGAGAGCTGAATCCGTGGGCTGAGTGATCTCCAACTATTGGCCAAAATGCCCCTCGATCTTTTTGATGCTCAAGTCGAACTGTCACATCCCAGGGTAAGAGAAAGGCGGAATTTTGCAAAACACCTGTTTGATGTTGGAGTCCCAGGTTGTGGGAGTAGAGACTGCTGGGCCCAAGACAAACTAGGGACCAACTGGAGAATTGGGGCAAAAGTCCAGTTGGAGACTCTGTGTGCAACATGCCTGGCAAATATTCCGTTGTTGACGGCTGCCGTACTAACGATTTTTCTGAAAATTAACAGGCAATTCGAATCCAAGAGTTATTATTCAAACTCATTGGATATTATTATTTATTTAGACATTTACAATATTTTGAATAACGACTACTTACCCTTTAGATTATCCGCATTGTCATCAGAAACCTGAATGACAACTTTATCTCCATCACTTGGTGTTAAACTCGTCTTATTCATTCTCTGATGTTCATCTCCATTGGGATCATTGGTCAATTGTGACTGTCCGGCACTGCCATATCCATGAAGAGTGCCATCAGCTAAACTGCATGCCTGTGTTTGTCCTTGTGGAGTTGATAAATCAACACGACCGAATGAATCTTTTCTTCTTGTGCCGGGGAAAAGTTGGGCGGCTCTGTAATTATGTGTACTGGGTTGGAAAACAGGAAATTGCACGGTTTCTAGCTGAGCACAGCCACATTGTTTGGCCATTATTTGAAACCAATCGTGATTTGCATGCCTAACATTGAAGGGATCATCCCTCGGTCCTTGTGATCGTCCACAATTACAGGCACAAATGTATCTGACACCACTGCAATGTTCCATGAGTGGTAATTCGTTGTCTTCTTTGACTCTTTCATCAGAGTGTTCACCACCACCAGCGCCTTCACTCCCCCCAGAGTGCAGGGGATTAGTACAAGGATTTCCAGTCAACGACAGGACCTCACACATTTGCCTTCCAGTTTTCCAGTGCTTATCACATTCGCTGTGGAGTTTCTCAGCGAATTCGTCGAACAAGGGACCACGTGCGTGCATTTCAAAAACAGCCATTGCATGCGTTAGTTTATTCTCGTGATAAGCCCTTCCATAATGCTGGGGTGAATTATCCTGATAAGTTTGCAGAGCCCTAGGCAAAACCTTGTTACATCTGCTTTTACTGAATTTAACATCCGTGTCCAACAATCCATGAAGATTTCCATCCACTTCCTTATCATTGGATTTAACGAAAAAATCGTAAATACCATTGGCCACGTGAAAAAATCCGGATACCGAGGGGATTTCAAAGTGCGCTGGTGTTGAATGTCGACCGACGTTATCATCAAAGCCTTTGGAAAATGCTAGTTTGATGTGTTGCTGAAGAAAAAATGAAAAAGATCTAGGTCTAGTTTCACTGCTTGATGAATCCAGTGTCATGCACTCCAAATTATTGTTATTCAGAAGAGATTTGTTAGTATTTCCAGGGCCAACTTTGCAGCTTTCCATCAATTTTGTAATCATATAACCAATCATATCACTCGACTCCGAGCGCCCTTTATTCACGTAGACAAATTCCTGGTTCGCTGGAATGGCGAACAAGGAATTGGCACTGATGTTGGTGACAATTCTGTGCTTTCTGAGGACGTGGTAGATTTGATCCTCCAAAGAGTGCTCCAGCTTTTTTATGTTCTCGATTGCCTCTGGACACGTCTCGAAATAAAACAGAACTCTCGGGGAGCAGGGACGACCATTGGTGCACCAAATTTTTGGAATTCCTGCGATCGACGTCAATAATGTTGATATTTGACCTATTGTTTTTTGTCTTATCACGTCCAGGGCTCGGAATAAGTGAACGTAACTGTAATCGAATGTGTGCGTTGGATGATGGAGAACTATAATGTGAGAAATGTGGAATAAAACTAGTAGAGATTTGGCATATGTTTCACGCATGTAGGCCCAGGCACTGAGGAAGTCCTTGCAATCCAGTTTCTTCATGAAATTGTCGTATTCGTTGACCAGAGTATCTCCGTCGAAGAGTCCTCGCAGGTGCAGGTAAATTATTCTCTCCTGATGATCGTAATATCCCTCGATTTCACTGAATGAATCAGCATTCACTGAGGGATGATCCAGTAAATCAATCAACAGGTTTGTCCCAATCATCTCTGTTTTACTGCATTTTGCACGATATTGGGATTTTCCTATTATCGATACTATCACCACTTTTTCGTCTGTACTTGTGAAATTTTCGGAGCTGCATGGCAATATGAACTTCTTCGGTCTCATCAGATTGCTAGTTATTTACTCTGTTACGTTATTCACTCGCAGCAGAATTGTTGACAACTGCCCACGAAAATAGGTTATGGTTTTCGGGTATTTATCTTAGGATCCTGTCTGTTGTGACTGGTAATGCAAACTCACCCAGTAGAATAACCTATCGTCGAATTGTTATTTAATTTTTAACTCGTTAGAACCCGTATGCACAAGTGGACGTGTATGAATTCCATGCGATAATTAATATTTCACTTATAAATATGTCAACAAAGATATTTTCCATTTTAACGAAGAGTCGGCCTGTTCTGAAACAAGCAACGAGTGTAACTCTCACCAGGATTGATAAATTTCATAATAATTTCGCAATAAGACAAAAATCAACAGATGAACCGGTAGCAACAATAAAAGTGCCTGAACCTGAGGCGGGGAAAATGCAGGCAGCAGTTTTGAATGAGTTCTCTAAACCCCTAGCTATTGAAAATGTCAAGTATCCACGAATTAAAAATGAGAATGAGGTAGACGTATTATTTATTTACTCTAAACAATGAATTTTCTTCGTAATAATACAAATTTACATTCGTATTTTACTTTTACCATTGTTAGGTGATAATTGATGTGCATTACTGCGCATTAAATGGGCCAGACGTCTTACAAATGAGAAATGAATACACATCCAATTCTTCGTTGCCCAAAATTCTGGGGTACGAAGTAGCTGGAAAATTATTGCAAATTGGAGAAGAAGCGAAAGCAAAGGGTTTTAAAGTTGGAGATAAAGTGGTTGCCTTGAATAAAATTCGATCTGGAGGTCTGGCAGAGCAATGTACAGCAGAAGTTACAGTAATTACACAAGAGTAAATTTTAAATGGAATAATAAATGAATTCCAATTGTTTTATTTTTTGTTTTGTGTTTTTTTACTGGACTTTGCAGGATATCTGGAAGGTGCAGTCGACTGCGAAACTTCTGGATTCAGTGTGCATCCTGGAGAATTACATGACAGCTCTCATTGGTTTGGAGAAACAAGCGAATTTGGAGGAAAATGAAATGGTTTTAGCTAATGTCGGCCTTGGAGGAGTTGCACTGGCTGCTGTGGATATTGCAGCCAATGTTTTCAGAGCTCAGGTAATCGGTGTCAGTGTGTCAGAGGAAAAAGCAGCACATGTTCGAGAAAAGGGAGCCTTTGCCTCTCTGGCCTTCAATGACAAGAAATTGGTCAAGAAAATCGAAGAGTTTGCTGCTGAAAGGGGCATCAAAGGGGTTTTTGAAGGGTCTGAGGGACAGAAATTGAAGCTAACGTTGGATTGGTGAGCAATAGTTATTGATTTATTGTTTTATAATTCTCCTTTCTTATTCCACTCATTTAATTTAATTTGTTACCAGCTTTACTAAAGTTTATGGTGACAATTTCTCGTCGAATATTCTACGTGATGATAATTTTTCCGTTCTCGTCCAACATTTATCCAGAGAGGGGCGGTTAATTATCGCTGGGTTCGTTCCAAAGGAAGAGGAAAGTCACGACGAGAAGAAAGGCTCAGTCATTCCTAGTGCTATTAATTTGAATCAATTTAAAACAGAGAATTTTGAAGCTTACAGGTAGATTTGAATATCGGTGAGTGAAGAAATTTTTGAAGAAGTTATGATGATTTTGTTATCCCAGGGAAGCAGGGCAAGATGTGTTGCAGTATTATGACGAGGGGCTGATAAAACCGTCCTACTCTTTCATCACTGGGCTTTACAATGTTAATGAAGCTGTCGGCTGTATTTCTAATTTGAAGTGTTTTGGAAAGGTCTGTGAATCCCCGAAATCTCTATTATGAAAATTATTACCCAGGCAATAATGTCGGATTTTACACTTTTATTAAGTATCAACTATTCTGTGAAATCATTGAGTTTAGAAAAAAATATCAGAAAACCTTTTTTGTGGGAAATTGAAGCAGCTACAAGAAAGTCGTCCCGTGTTTCGACGATAAATCTATAGTTTCTTACTTAAATCGATAATTCAGAGAATCGTACTTGCCACTTAATTTACCACTTCGCTAATTAATTTTTGTTGAAAAAAAAAATATTGTCTGATTTGATGTTTTTTACAGGTGATTATTAATCTCAAGAAACCCAGCTCGATGAATGAAAAATAATTTTCAATAAAGATAATTTTCGATTTGATGAAAGGAGTATTGAAATCTAATTTTCCCCTGTGTTCTGTCCTTATATTTTTCCAATGCGGAAAGCGTAGACTGAATACCGATCAGAGGTCAATTTTTATGTTCTCTCCATTTCCCTGAAATTTAAAATATTTAGAAAGAACTCCCTGGAAACGCTTCAGTTGCAAGCGGAGGGCCGATTGTCGATGGAATGCCAAAGAGAGGGGAGGGGAAAAAATTATAACAAAGTCCTTGTTCCTTATACCGAACTAGTGATTACGGGTATTTTGAGAAAGACCGATGATGAAGTAACGGAGTGAAAGCAATTCCATAGATATCGCACGCTCGAGTCTCGATTTATTTCTTCGTATTTTTATATTTTCGGCGCCTTTGAACGTAGAATTACAACCTGTGAGATGAATACATGAAAAATTAAGAAGAAATTCATGCTTCTTCCTATCGCATTGACGTCAGAAATCATCGTCACATAAATTTTGCTAATTTGAAGAATGGAGTGGGACGCAATCGAAAATTGACGCTCGATATTTCGAAAAAAGACAACTAATTTCGTATACAACGTTGAAATGTGTATCAGTGAGTGTCGCCAAGGCCGACCACCTCACTTTACTTTTCCAGGGTGTTCGTTTACAGTGGTTTCAGTACTCGTGAGAATCGATTCAATCAATTTTTTAAATCCATATCAAACGGAATTTTTATGGCTGTCATTAGCCGTAGGAATTTATTTTCCTCAATTATCGATTTATCTCGAAAACTACGGGCCTCCGTTGAAAAAAGAAAAGAGTGTTTTTTTTAAATAATTAAATTTCCCATAAAAATGTTCTGTTTGGTGAGGAACTGAGGGTTTTGGGTGGCGCCGGGAATTGTGTGAGGTGATGGTCGGATAGAATTATACCGAGAAAACGCGAGCAAATTCCGCGTCACGCGTTATCGATATATTAATATCTCTATTCGTTAAATTACAATATTTACACTGAATGGACAATTATCTGATTATTGGTGAGAGTCTCTTTCACCTCCTTAACACGTTGATTAACTGAACTGATAATTTACTAGATAATTAATTGATACTGACTGCTGAGAAAATGATAAATTCAACCGAAGAGGCTGATCTTGATGTCTGACTGACAAACACAATGTCCGGTTACTAAAACGTCTGAACGACTACTAGAAAAACTGTCTTTCTCTATGGACATCCAAGACTATACTGATATAATTCCTTTTATTTGAATTCCTTTGACCGTTGGCCCGGGGGACCTCGATTTCTATCGAGGGCTCCCGATCTGACCTGATGATGAAAACCTTGAAACGCCTAATTGCGTTTCAAACACGGTCTTCTCACATTTTCTCCTAAAACCAATACTTTTTGTTAGATCACTGGACTAGACTTTAAATTTTATAGTTCCCAAGAGAACAATAAACTTCAAATTTTCCGTTAAAAAATTTCAAACCTGTTCAATAAAAAAATAAATTTGCAAATTGTCAAAGGCAGAGCCTTAAAATTTCAGATAGTAGTTTTCTAATGCATCTAATGATTTATATAATTCTGTAATTAATTCAGGTTTAGTACATCATTCCATATTAGTACCGGAAGTAGCTGAAATTCAATGAAAAATAGTGGAAGAAAATGATATAACAATGTGGTTGTGGCAGTACGAATAAACGACCCACGTGAACTCGCGAGAGGTGGACAGCATGCAAACAGTAGGGGATAAGAAACGCGTTCTCGTAGTCTGTTACCACTCGCCAGAGACTTGGAGACTTTAGTCTACCACTTGGCCTCTCCGTGGCGGGCACCGCTCCATCGTTCACCATGTACCATTCCATTCATAAAAGTTTCTGGACCCAAGTGATCACAAATCACCATTAAATCCAGTGTAATTCAAAATCACCCAAAACATCCATCAGCATTCAATCCACTCTCTCCAATTCCGATCTCATGTGCCGAGTGATTTTTCCTCAAATCATCAAACGATACTTCACTGCTGACTACTTGCTGCTGGAGGAAATCATCTGGATAAGTTAATCATCTGTAATTACCCGAGGGATCGACGGAATTTAACGATGGGAAAGACCATTGAGTAGATTTTTAACGAGCAAATGAGATCGCGGAAATGGGAAAGAAGGGAATGGGAAAGAAAGATACCTAGTGATTCCTCAATATCGATGAGCAATACATAGTTTTGCGATTGGAAATAAGGAAGTAGTAGTAGACCCGTTCCAGGGCAACAGCTGTTTATGTTCCTCGACCGAGAAACACGCCCACAGTTGATCACTGACGACTTTCGATGGAAGAAAGTTTTACGGCAGTTCTGGAAATAAATTAACGAATGAATTTCTAGTGAATATCAATGGTATCCAAGAGAAGAGGAAGATAAAAGGGAGATTCCTCGTCGTACCATCTAGAAATATCGACTGGATTTTGAGTAATGAAATAGTAAAAGACCACGAGAACTTCGAATCATGCCACTGATTAGAAAATTTTTCTCAACATGCAATACAGATAGTGCAACTGATTGGTGTTGAAAGATGGGAGCAATGGACCGGTGGAATGAGTCGTGCAGTTTTTCAACGATGAACGAAAAAGGGACAATGAAACATTTCAAGTGTGTTCACTGTGATTGAGAGTACTACTTATTTTCCCCCTTCTCCTCTTCAAGTGTAATTTGGATACTGTGATAAACCGAAGGCATCATACGAAGGAGACGGAAATTATCGGCAAAATCGAGGGGATCAATTATTCTGTGGCCATTTACAGAAAAGGTAAAACACGAGGATCATTTAATTTTCGATAAAAAAAAAAAATGGGAAAATCTATGAAACAAATTGTTTGAATGAAGTCTTGCAGTTCTGCAGTCTTGCAGTCTTGCAGTCTTGCAGTCTTGCAGTCTTACAGTCTTGCAATTTTATAGTCTTGCAATTTTGCTGTTGTACAATGATTGAATAACAATTTAAGCGAGTTGAATAATAATTTGGCATCGATAAAGATTGAAATGCCCCAATCAGTCTCCTCCATTATAGCATCAGCTGTTGCGGAGGGGAAAGTCTCACATACCAATCGTTATTTCCTCTTTTGATTTCTTCCCTCGATCATTTGTTCAATAAAAGAGTCAATATCTGGTGCTGTTGCAAGGCCGTGAATAATGTACCGTTCATTTTCTTAACCGATTAACTTGCATTCATACTGGATAGCACGCGCGCGGTTAACGGTTTTGAAACGGAACGATCTAACTCTACCGCCTCTATGTTTATTAACTCTCCCGTCAATTTTATTCATTTTTTATTGCTATACCTCGGGATGAATGCGGCGTCAGTCGAATTCGCAAGGGGTTGGACAATTTGTTGCTCCACTTTGGACATAAAAAATGGATTGGAGCCGTCACCCGCGTCGTGGACCAGATTCGATTTATCTCTGCCGCAATTATAATTTCCCCAGTCTTTTGCTGGGAGCTGTGAACCGGCTCTCAGCACGCAACTTTCACAAATGGTTACTACTGCGACGAGCGATGCTCATTTACTCTTTCGGCCTTACTTTTCAAACTGTGAAAGAAAAGATAATTTTTTTCATCCATTTACTTTTCCCCTGTTTGCGGTTTGTTGTTGAATTAATACTTTTTGTCAATTTTACGAATTCGGTGATTCGGAAATGGATTCTAAGGATTTCCCATTTTAGCTAGAATTACCGATTTTTTTTGACTTTTCTAACAAATTGTTGATTGAATTGACGTGGGAAAAGGTATCGTTTTTCCATTTTATCATTATCTATTGACTCCCAAAGTGTCGTGATTGTGTAATAATTTTCCTGCATTTTTCCTAATCATTTCAAAAATATTCCCAAAACATTACCAAAAAAACAGAAAAATTATTGCGCGCTCATGAAAGTATGTGAGTGACGAGATAATGATAAAATGCAAAGACAATATATTTTTTCGGGTCAATCCGATCGACTAATTTGGTAATTTGAGCTAAAAGGGGTCAGGACATCCTTAACTGAGATTTGAATTTCGTCAGGATTTTCTCCAGCTTTTCCTTTTTATATTGTTTTAGTGGTATTTCTTGATTTAACAAATTGCCGGGGTTAACACGTGATGCATAATACATCCGCGCGTTTTTGCTGGTCATTTTGAAATACCAGAAAGGATATCGACTGGAAGAGGAGCCCCAAGGTATATAAGATATATATACACGATTCCTCCTCCTACTCTCCAAAGTATCTCTACCCCTTTCGGTTTATTCCGCGTGTGTCGTGCATGCACGAGTGCCTTCCACCGATTATATATTTACACGTATATAGTTTTATTTATTCCCTCTTTCGCATTCTCTCCTTCGCATTATGGCTTTTGTCGGAGTCAAGGAGAGGATAGTGAAAGCGGTATATAACGTACATCCAATTATTGAATCTCTTCTGAATTTGGTATGTATGTATGAGGATTCGTGACTCAATGCGAGAGCAATGAGTTAGAAAGTCCTGTCGATGTGCACTCATTGGGATGTTCCTCCTCGAAAAAAAAGGTCAAGAAAACACTAGGAACTCTCCGATTGCGGAACACCACCTAAAACGGAACGCTATATTTACGCAAAAAAAAACTCCACACCAGAAAAAAATTCCAGATAAATTGCCACGAAAGTTCCATAATTCTGGGGTGAAGTGGTACCGCGAAAAAATTACGCGAAATCTCGGGAAATTGGTATCGAACAAAAATTTTTTTTCCAGTCATTTTGCATTAATTTTATGGGAAAAAAAAAATTGCACCAGATGGTCTAATGCGTCCAGTATTGAATAACGAACGGTCAATCGTCCTTAGTTCCTTTTTACTTCCAAGGGACAAATCTTTTTTAATTTTTTGCGCATCTCTTCTCAACTCTTTGGGATAATTGTTTACTAATTATGCACATGAGTTGCGTCTAATTTTCACTCAGCAATGCTCAGAGATGATGCACGTTTCATAGTTGAATGAGCAACGAAATTGCGAGTAGAACTGTCGACGCGCAAAACGAGACATCGCTTTCTCTGGTGTTCACCACTTTTGTATATTATATACACACGATTGTACATAAATACACGAATCATTGTACGTAGTGCGCATACAATGAATGTGTGGTGTAAATTTTTATTTGGTACTGCAGGCGACGCCTGTTACACTCGAGTAGAATGGTTAAAACGAGTGACGGAAAAAAAAAATAGAGTGGTATGTACAACGAAAATCAAGCAGTTATGTTCACTGATGTATAACAGTATCAGGGGGAAAGCAAAACTTGCGTGTCTGCATGAAAATATGAACGGGTTCGCGTCCACTTTACGTAAGATTGAAATTTTCTTTGCGAGTGACTTTTTCTGTCTCGGTCCGCGCTGTCTATACTACCTTGAAATTATAATATCAAATTTCAAAAATATCAAGGAAAGTCCTCGTCATTTCCTCGTTTCCATGTACAGTGGAAATATCAACGGGTTAAACACAGAAGGGCACAACTGCCGAGGAATTTTATTGATTAAATCGATTCAAGTCAAACGAATATGCTATTTCTATTTCCTCATTGAAATTTTATTGAATTCGTTATTTAACTTGCTATTGTTGTTATTATTATTGTCTCTATTCTTTTCAACAATTTATTCGGCCCATGTATTGGTCTGGCGTTATCATTGCTGCATGACTCAGAATTTATGATGAGCATGCAATAAGTTTCCTGAATTTTTTCTTAAGTTTCATGACTTGTTGAAGAGTTAAAAAATAATGCAGGAAAACTATTGCACGATCATGAGAATTTTTTAGTCATGAAATAATGATAAAATGCGAAAGTGCCCTATTTTTTCGTGTCAATCCGATCAACAATTGTAGAAAACGATTAATTTTGGCAGAGTAAGGAAGGAGAACAGCCTTAAGTTATTATTGTTATTATTTATTTATTGATTTACTTATTTTTTAATTCCCATGGTCTACTCGACCTTTAACCCTCAGTTTACAGATATGACATGGAGTATAGAATAGCAATAAGTAATAAATTTATTGAAAGGAGAACAATAACATTCTGGTCCTACATTGTTGCTAATTATTTGTTATTAAATTGCAGAAGGAACGAGCCGAATACTGCCCCTAGCCATGAACCTCGCGCTGCACGGATTTCTACTGCAGGGTAATGCATTGAGATATAGATTACTAGTAAAAAATTGAGAGTATGAAGGAAAAAATGAGAATGACGAAGAGCACCTAGGAATGGAATGTTGTATAATACGTACATTATAAAACCGAATGAATCGCGGTCGAAAAGCGTAGGTAGGACTGGATACCGGCAGCCATTGACGTTTATTATAATTACGCGCTACTTCCATCGTGATGATCATCATAATGATGATGCCCCAGGATGTGCGGAGGATTCTTCCGGTAATTATGTGAAAGAATGGGAGAGGACTCATGTTTCATCAATCTTCCTTAAATTGAGACGTAAAAATCTCGACTGGCTCTTTCTCGTTGTCCTATCCAAGGCATTTCCACCTGTTGTCAATGCAAGGTCGAGTGCGAATAAATGTTTATTTTCATTGAATTTATAAATAATTTCACCATTTTATCCAGCGCATTCGTGCACTTTGAGACATCAATGCGATTCGCCACGTGTGGAGACCTTTACTTTCCAACTTGAGAGATAGGATTACAAGTGCATGAAGTATTCCTCGGTAAAGGTACTTCATGAGCACGTAAGGGGTGCATGCACCTGGTGTCACGATGCTGTTCTCTTTTCACTGGAAAAAGAAAGAGACGGGGGAACAAAAATTCAAACACGTAATTCCCGCTGTAGATGCAGTGATGCAGCTCTTTCTCTTCTAAAAATGTGAATTCATAGAAATCGCGAATTTCGCTGCGCTCTTTAAAATTTCTTGATATTTCAGACACGAAGTCATTTGAATTTTCAATTATATGGCTTTGAGTTGAGTTTCAATTAAAAAACGTGACTGAATTTGCTGACTTGAATTTATTTGCGTTTTTGAAGTTTAATGATAATTAATTTTTCAATGAAAGATTGAATTCTGCGAAATTATTGCCGGAATTTTCAACAAAAAATGAAAAAAATAAAAATGAAAAATTACTAGAATATTATTTTTACGAGCTTTCATACCACATGGCCTTAAAAATATAGAATTACCAGAATATTCAATAAATCGAATGATCCGCTAATGAATAATTATTATTAATTTTATGTTTTTTAACTTAAAACTTTGAGTTTAATGTTCCAACACTATAGACAACAGTAAATTAAAGTAAATAAAATTCTGCATTAATTTTTCAATAGAATATTTTATAAAAAAAAGTCGAGATGGATTTATTAACGGAATAATTACTTAGAGAAGAGTAGAAACGATGTGTTCTGGATGCATATGAATTTCACTGGGAATTTTTTTCTTATTATTTTACCTTTTAGAAAGGTGCTTCCGGTGATTGAAGGGTTCTCACGAGTATAATGGGTGCAATTATTTGTCCATTCTTTCGCATGCATTCCACCTTCAATCCGTCGATTTAATTCTTCAACAATGGTTCGTAGTTTTTCTCCAGTATTTTCACCGTTTTCTATTATAGGGCTCGACGATTGGTAATTTGACGTGCCATTAGAAGGTCTAACCCTGAAGTAATAATAAATGCATGATTGTATTTGAGGTGGATGATCCTTTCTTCGATGCGGAACACAGCGTTATATAGCTTCTCGGTCGAACGCACGCCGTTAACGAGGTGAATTGTGCAATCACTACATTCGACCTTACTGCGTCCTCAACTTGTGGGTGTGCAATACATCCCAACTTGATCATCAATTCGCTCCTACTTTTTATTCATTGTCATTTACACTGTCTGAAAGGAAAATTTATGAAATTTGTTGACTGTCAATTTTTAGGACAGTGACATTGAATGTCAGTCAAAGAGAAATCTCAGTAAGAAATTAAAATGGAATTTCACCTTCTGCTCCATCAACTTCTCAGCCTGTCATCATTTTTTATTCATAATTATTTATAATTAGTTGTAGAGGTAGAAAATAAATGGATGAAATTGTAGTCCAGTCGTGATTTTTAAGGCTTTAAAGTGCATTGAGATGAAAATTAATCAATTGACTCAAATTTCGAATCTAATATGAATTTTTAATTAATTTTTATTTATTGAAGAATATATTTGTGATAGTAATATTTAAAACATTAATTTCCAGTAAAAAGTTGAGAATTCACAGTTTGATTTAAGTTTTATTTTCCCCTAAAATTCTGAATTGTCACTGACAAGATTTCCTGAAATTTCAGTAGAGCTCCCAGAGATAAAAATAATCAACGGTGTCAATAAATTCTGAATATCAATTCCATTCCCCCAACAAAAATCGAATTCCTGACTCAAAGCGCATGACCAGGTGAAAGGTGTCAGCAATATCAGTAGAAAAATGCGGCATATGTCTGCCCTTTCAGTTTTCCTAAAATCATCACTCACCCCAAGAAAATCATCAAAATCATAATTTCTCCCCAATAAATACACCAGAGACATCAAATCACCTGAAATATCCATAAAATAAGACGATAAAATTCCAATTTAAATTCGCACCTCAATTAAATTGGTTTATCACTAATAAATTCAAGTGGCAGAAATAATTTTCTCAGTGCAGTGCTATCGCGATAGCGATAGTGATAGTGGATTTCATATTTTCAAGTTGTCTCATTTAAAAACGACTGCGCAACTATATGATATCCTTTATATATATATCTGTCAAGGACACGTGAAAGTGAGATCTTGATATTTATCGATCGGGTGTTTTCTGTCAGGATGCGAAGACGAGTTTTCTGGTCTGCCAATCCACTGAAGACGACCCGCAACCCGATAAATGTCACGGCATTCACACAGTCATTACGTGCGGACGTTATATCATTTGGGTAGGATATACTGCCGGTTCATTTTTCCAATTGACTCTAATCAATAAATAAGAAAGAAAGATCTACTTGCAGATGGTACATTATGTAATGAAATCCTCAGCACAACACTCGAAGTATTTTCTATAATTTTATTCAACCCTTCGAGATTGACTCTGACATTTAATCATTCATTTCAATAATGACTCCGCACATCATTTCCAATATTTTGATTAGACACATATATTGATTAATTCCCACAATTCATGATGAATGATTTGAATTGAATTGGTCAATTGATTTGGGAGAGATTGCAGAGGTAATAGAAAGTTATTTCTCGATTTGTAATCGCAGAGGTGAAAATATCGGTGATTGATGAATTAATTTTGGTAGATCCATTGACGAGAAAAGAATAAAGAAAATGTCATGGAAACTGGGGAGACTGGGGAAATCTGAGAGAGAAAAAGCCGATGATTACGTGCATATATATTACGGTTATTAAGTTTCATTGATTTAATTCTGGTGGAATAGCACGTTCAAGGACTTCTAAACGTGAAAACATTTCTGAAGAGTTCTTGAGAGAAACAGGACATTCTCGAATGGATACCAACGTATTTGCTGTAACGGTGATTTGCCTTGGAGTTGGCAGAATTAAACGTTACACTCCAGGGGATTCGAAATTATTCAAGAAATTTCGGTTTCACAGTGGAATCGACGCTTTCCTTTTTCGCAAAAACGAAGATTCCCCTTCGCAGAGCAAATCTTTCCCAATTTTTAACTCCAGAGTCAAGTGTTCCAATTCGTTCGTTTTGTTTATGCAATTCAGGGGATGCGGAAATAGTTTTTATCCAGCATTTGCTGATTTTAGGTGCGTTAATACTTGCATCAGTGAAATTTTCCAATGGGTTTTATATTCCGTAGAAGACGTGCGTGCTGTAGGTAGTCCGGAAAAGTCTCCCTTCTCTCTTCAATCGTTATAATCCAAATGCTAGGAATAAATGTTGTAATGAAATTCTAGAAGTCTGCAGGTGTTGAATCGAGGTCACGCCACCATCTGATTCAGTCTCTGAATGCGCCATACAATTCAGCGATATCCCATTTTTTTTTCTCTCACTATTTCCTATTTATTCTATTGTACTGCCAATTGATTTTCCCACTGTTGACTTATCATTTGAATTCTCGTTTCAGTTATCTTGTCGATTATCGACTTTAAATATGGATTGTGCAGCGCGGGGGAACCTGGAGTAAGTTTTCTGCATTCACACGGAGAAAAAATTGTAGTAAAAAAAAAATAACCCCGGGGTTTAGTAACCGATAATAACTTACTGGATCTGCAGCAATTTTTTTCTCGATGTTGTAAAAATTCCAGTGTCTTGTACTGTGGAATTTTTTTATTCGAGGGGTTTTGACGATTTATTAGAAATTTTTCTCCGTGCACTTGTCGTTTTTGGTTTGTTCACTCACTGGTTTTATATTTTTCGTTAAATTCAGTACTTGGACTTTGACAATCTCCCGGAGACGAATTTCTCGTGCCAGGGCAAGGTCATCGGTGGATACTATGCTGATGTCGAGGCCGGCTGTCAGATGTTCCATGTGTGCACCATCGGCCAGAAAGGTAATCATTGACGTTTACATTTTATTAATCACCGGGAAAAGATCATGGGAACGACGGGGCAAAGAGTTTATACTCTTTCCAGACGTTAAAATCTCTCAATTGCTACTTAAATAGAATATATCCTCCCCAGAGGAAACGCACTTTTTTCTCCCTGGGAGAACAAACAAGTCGACCTGTTCTCCAGTCAACTCTTTAACGAATATCTCGGAAACTAACGGAGACAGCGAAATTTTTCTTAGAACCTATTTTGTAGAGTGGGATGTCAGTTACAAAAAAGGAATTCACATAAAATTCCCTATCTCTCTTAAATCCAGAGATATTCCTCGAAATGAATTTTCTCATTAATTAATTTATTCCTCATCTAGTTGTAAATCTAAATCAAAATAATCGACTGCAATTATGACTCATCATAGCAATTGATTTTTATTGATCTGAGTAAGCGCAGGGTATAATGGATTGTGATTATGTTGCTGTGAGAATGGGAAAAAAAGGTTCAGTAAAAGATATATAATAGGTTGAGCGTAACTTGCATAATCGCTTACATAAATTAACAAGGACCGGCTGTCGACATTTTTCACTTATAGATTTTTAAAGGTTTTCGAGCGGTTGGTAACGGGGCAGTTGCAGCAGCCGAGAAAGTCGCGACTCCAGCTGTCCCGTTGAATGATCAAGTCACTTATTATTATTATTAATAGATAAATAAATAATATTCATCAGAGAATGTGTAAAATAATACCAGATCTCTCGTGTTACCGTGAGATGTCATTTCAGATGAGATAATGGACATTAAGTTTCTATGTCTGAATGGTACGGTCTTCGATCAGGAAACGAGGGTTTGCGAACGAGTGGATGAAGTCGACTGCAGCAAGAGCGAGAGATTTTATAATCTCAATCTTGAATTGTACGGCAACAACGCGGTGACACTAAGGTAATGGGTTCTGATTGAATAAACCAATTCGTGAATTATTCATTTATTTTCCACTTTTATGCATCAATATATTTCACTTTCCCACAGAAATTCTTCGGTGCCAATTCTTTCAGTTTCAATAGTTTTTTATTCGTTTCTCGTCATTAACTTCGAGGTGAAAAAAAAAAATCGGAAAATTCAACGGCTGGTATTTTTCTATAAATAAATGTCTGTTTAAATTCACGAGCTGACGTTGCATAATAAACAGAAAAAAGGATGTTTTTACAGAATATTAATAGAACTCCAATAGAATTTCGTAGAGAAAGCGCAAGCGTTTTTCAGCAATTTCTTTTTTTACACGCGAATTTTATAATGACCCACCGGTTTCCATTGGTTATAGTACATTTTCGTGATTATTCACAATTCGACTTTAACGTTCACCATGCAAATTTTTTGTTGGCATATCATTTCAAGTCAACCTCCCCCCAAAGATGTTTATTACCAAACAGTTATACATACACACATCCGTCTTACGCGGTAGTGAGACCATTCACCTCAGTTGGACGGTTTCGCAAGGACCAGGGACACCGAATGCCTTTCATTTGACATTCCTTTCCCGGGGAAATGGAAGATTAAATGCAATAGCCTGACAGTTCGCGTAAATGATACAGTATTGTAAAAAAAATCCCCAATAGATTTCAATTGTTAAGGATTTTTTTTTCCATTGATATTTCAGTCTCCACGAAGAAGTGAACGATGACGAGCCTCCAACTCTGATCGACAATCTCCACCAGACGACATCAGCTAGACCAGTAACGACGACCATGAGTACAACAACAACTCCAATACCCGTCCTGTCCTCTACTACCTCGGCAAGTTATCCTCAGCATCAGCACTCGAGTGGTGGTTATCCTCAGCACTTTCAAAGTCAACCGCCGTTTCCATCCGTCCAAACTAGTCAGTCCAAGTCACGCTACGACGACAAGAATGGTGGTTATCATCGTCAATATATTTATCACAACGGTGGTCAGGATGACGAGCAGAACGACGGAACAACTCACGACAATCAAGCGACTTCTTATCAATTATTCAGTAATCAGGGAGGAAGTTCGACGACACCGGCTCCCCAGATCCATCAGATATCCACAGTATCTCCATTATTCCACGCTACCTCTCCAACAATTCAAACTCTGCTCACTGGAAATGCCAACAATCCCTCCCTGATAAATCCCCTATTCCACAATCACGGAATTATCAGTACAACTGAACAATTCACTGTGCACAGTAGTAATACCAGGGATACGGCTGACTATCAAAGGAATAATGCTGATATTTCTAAGACGGGTGGTATTGAACGTACATTTTTGGAGCCAATACAATCGACTAATCAAGGAAAAGTCTCAAAGTTGACGATATCACCAGTACCTCAAGACACTTCTGACAAAAAACCCAAGATCAAGACAGAAACCCAGACGAACTCCCAACAGCACAGAGTCTCGGAGAGTTTCGTGTCCATTCCTCCATCTGACACTGGCCCACCAACAGTCAGATCGTTCTATCCCACCCCGAAATCCAAATCAGAAACCTCCACTACCCGAATCACTCAGCACATACATTTGCCTCCTCCACCACCGATTCCGCAATTGAAGCCTCATCAAGTGACAATTCATCTGTCCCCTCCGGAGATACAGAGATTAGTGCAGAATCCCTCACCTCTTCTTCCATCTCAGTCGAGAGTGATAGTCACAGCTAAAGCGAGTGTCAGTGACGAATCTGGAAGACCTCTCAATACCACTCAATTAGTCACACTTCCACTTCCAACTATTCCAGCGAGTTACGATGATTACAAAGAAGGAGATGAGTCATTTGATCCGTTCTACCGAGATGTTCCTAAGATCAGGAATAGCAGAAAGTCTGGTGGTAGATTCGGGATATTGGTGGATCACCAGAGGAAGAAAAGACAAGTGGATGGTGATCTTGAGGAAAAGGGCGAAGCCCAGGGTGACGACATTGCACTGGATGATGAGAAATTATATGAAGACTACGACGAGGGCACAACAATTGCTTCCGTGGATTCAGCAGAGTCCTCAAATGTAACTAATGAGGAAAATCGAAGTGATATGCAGGGGAAATCTGATGAAAGCTCAACGCTGGAGGAGGAATATGATGAGGATTATTATGATTCTCAGAGGCCTACTGAGTTCAATGTTATTGGAAGGATTAACGACACGGGAGTAGAGTCGCAGGAATTTTCACCAGACGCTGATTATCGTTACAAAGATTATTCACTCGCCTCGCAAGGTGATGATGATAAGAACTCAACGTCTGCTGACTACCAGGATGATTCAGATTACTTAACAATTACAGAAGAGCCAAAGACTGCTGTAACGATGGAAGATCCGACGACAACAGAGCAAGTGGAAATAACAACGGTATCGGAGGCAAATGAGAGTAACAAAACGGCAGAGGATACGGTCCTCAAATTTACACAGGAAATTCCGCAAACCGAGCAGGAGGACATAGTGGAAGATCCTAAGGTCGTGTTACTCGATATTCCTCAGGACACGTCTCAAGATTACGTTGATGATAATTACGAGCCGGAAAGTTACAAAGAAATGGTGGAATCTGAGACGATAAATCCAATCGATAAGGAAAATACAACGGAAAGTGTTGTTGAAGCGTTGATTGAAAATGTGACAGAAACATTGATCATCAGCACTGAAATTCCTGAAACAACTGTCAGTGAAAACATCGGTACGACTTTACCGACGACTTTGTCGACACCGATTGATGTAATTACGACGAGTTCTTCTATTACGACTTCGGCTACTACTATGTCTTCTACTACGACCTCTTCTACTACGCCTTCCTCTACTACAACTGCCGCCACTACAACTTCCTCTACTACAATTTCCTCTACTGCAATACCTACCACAACTCCTATCACAACTTCCTCTTCAACAACTGCTGCACCGATCACACGCAGGCGTTACACAACCATTTCCACAACGACATACCGCCCAACACCTCCGAAACTGAAAAATTTCTCAACACGAAAGACCTATGTCTACAGTCCACCAACAACCACTCCAATTCCAGTGATAATAAAAATGAGACTTCCGCTATTGAATCCGAAACCCGCTAAACCCCCACGATCTTACAATGAATTGGCACCCAAACCAGTGATAAGAAAACGTCCATTACTGGCACGACGAGTATCAACTACTCAAGTGGTTCAGCAAGATATTGGAGAACCTGAGGAAATAACGACGACGACAACGTCGACGACCTCGACGACGATATCCGATTTGAATCTAAAAGGCACCACAGAAAAGACGTCTGATGGTCTATCTGAGAAATTATTAGAGAGGATTTCCGAAGCCGTGGGACAGGAAATTATCGAGCAAATCAATGATCTGACGACTACAACTTCGCATTCAAAGGATTTTGTTGACAGGGCTGAGGAGAGTGTGACAAATTCTGGCCCAGTGGAAACAGTTCTAGAACCGTTCTATCAAGAAAGAGAAGAAAGTAGAAATGATGTGACGACTGAAAGTACGAGTGAATCCACTGATAGTAACACAACTCCAATTATTAACTTGACAACGAGTCTGGCAACAGTGACGTCTTCACAAATCGCCTCAGTATTACCCGTTGATCGCAAACCAATGGTAACATACAAACGTGTAAATGGCTTCAATTGCCTTGAGAAGGAGATGTACAGATTTTACGCGGATAAAAGAGACTGCCGATTATTTCACTATTGCTCACCAGGATTTACAGACAGACAGGTTCTCGATTTTCGATTTGTGTGCGAGGAAGGCACAATTTTTGATGAGGACACACAGAGTTGCCTTCACGACGTGAAAAATGCCAAGTGCCGAGAGAAAACCTGATAAACTGGGAATCAGTAGATTTTTACTATTTTTATTGTAATGATTAGTTGATTTGCCTCTCATTTTTCTACCAAATGAACGCTATTATTTAGAATGAATTTTTTGCTAACTCTCGTTCTCCGAAAGTGCTTCCTTGATTTTGGTAATTCGTGAATCCTGAGAAACTTAGAAATTTATCAAGTAATTATCTGAGTTTATATTTATGTTTCTATATTTTTCTTCATTAATCTATCAATTACTTTTATTTTGCCATAACAATTTGTATGTCAGTGTGTGTATGACAATGAATGATTCAAATGTTTCTATTGCGTATTGGATTCACACTTATTAAAATTAATGCATTTCGGAGAACAACTCATGAGAAATTCACTTTGTCTAGTTGTACGATCATTTGACATCTGTTACTTCCCTCTTTTTCATGTTTCAACGATTGATCGAGTGTCTTATATATTTACGAAAGGTGATTGAATACTTATTGCTCAAAATTGTATTGAGATTTCTTAAGAGTGATACATCTACACGGTGATTTCGCAGGGAAACCATTCAACTGTTCGAAATAATTGATCTAATCAATTGAAAATTAAAATCACAGTTGAAACTCTCTGCAACAGCTGACGAACGTCAGATATATTCATCGTAGCTACTACTGTACCCTTAGTTCATCAATTTTTCACGGTTTTTTTTGGCGGCACGAATTTTTTATCTCCAGACAATCCTAACAAATTGATTTTTTTAAATGAATAAACGCGTGTCGGATATTTTTCATGAAATCTTTACACTCTGTCGTTTTAGCCGATGAAATTACACAACCGTTTAATTAAAGATTTGTACAAAGGTTTACTGTTTAATTGGAACCGTGTTCTTTATTGTTTAGATTGAATAAATTTGAATATTTTTGCTCTCAAAATATATATTTGAATATTTTTGCCTTCCGGCCTTTTATCCTTGTCCTCCTCCGCTATCGGATACCAACTGGGCAATGTTGAATTTTTTCAGAGATAAAAAATGATTTTTTTTTCAATATCTAAACATGAAAATTTTTCATACCGAAATTTCCCATCGAAGTACTGGGGGTTTGAGTGACCTAAACGGCATCGTAGTACTGCACCCCAAGGGAGGGAGGGGGCTCAATACGTAATGGTGGGGTGTCTACCCGTCAGCCGACTCGGTAACTGCCTCAGTAGCAGTCCCGCTGTCAGTGGGACCAGTCGACTGGGTGAATTTTAAGTTATGTGTTGCGAAATTGGTATTCACTGAAATTGAAAAATGGAAAATTTTCAAAAAAGTATCAGAGGAGCATAAAAATGGAGGAGGTATTTACTGAAATTTGAAATTTTTCGAAAAGCATCAGGGGAGCATGAAAATCGAAGAGGTATTCACTGAAATTGAAAAATTCGAAATTTTTGGAAAAGTGTCAGGGGAGCATGAAAATCGAGGAGGTATTCACTGAAATGTGAAAATTCGAAATTTTTGGAAAAGT